TCCTATGCTTCCTCTTCGCTTTCCTAGTCGCTATCTAAGCTTTCTAAACTCGTATCTTCGTCGTCCGAGCTATCGTCGTCTCCGAGAAAGGCGGGAGCGGCTATTAGTACAAAGGATGCTACGAGAGGCTCTAGGCCGGTAAAGTCGTCTCCGAGGAGCTCGTACAGTTCCTAGCTAAGGTTATACTCCTTAAGGATAGACTGTTCTTTACGCTACGGACCTCGATCTAAAGGCGAGTCTCCGTTGCGCCTCGTAAGTACGTCGGCCTATAAGTTTGCTTTGCCGGGCGTATACTAAATAACGAAGTTAAACCGGGAAAGAAACTTACTCTAGCGTACCTGCCTACGGCTAAGGATTTTGCTCTTAAGAAAGTAGATAAGGTTCTTATAATCCGAGCTAACCTAGATCGGTAACTTAGAACCTTCGAGTTCCGGACGCTATTCTTCGAAAGCCTTAACGATTGCGAGGAGCTCCTTGTCGTAGATATCGTAATTGCATTCCGCGGAGGACATTTTCTTAGAGAGGTAGGCTACGGGTAGCTACGCATCTTCCGGGGTCGTTCGTTAAAGGAGAACGGCGCTAGTTATACCGTCGGAAGCATCGGTTTCTAAGCGCGTTTCTTTATCGAAGTCGAAGTACTATAGGATCGGTACGGTCGTAAAACTTTACCGTAACTAGTCGAAGGCTTCTTAATAGGCCGGTAACTATTCAAATTTGACGTCTTTCCGCGTAAGTGCCGTAAGTAAACGGGCGATTCCGCTGAAATTCCGTATAAATCTCCGGTAGAAGTTAGCAAAACCGAGGAAGCCCTAGACTTCTTTTACGTTTCGTAGCACTCCCTAGTTTAGAACGGCTTCGATCTTGCCGGGATCTATTCGAATACCTTCTAAAGAGACAATAAGGCCGAGGAATTTCACCTCTTGCTTATAGAATTCGTACTTGTCGATGTCGATATATAGTCTAGCTTCTACGAGTTTCTCGAGTACCTTTTCGATGTGTTCGTAGTGTTCCGCTTTCGTTTTGCTATAAATTAGGATGTCGTCTATATACGCTAAGACGAAGGCGTCTAGGAATTCTTTAAGCGTATCGTTAATATATGATTAGAACGTACTAGGTCCGTTACAGAGCCCGAACGGCAAGACTAGGTATTCAAAAAGGCCGTAACGGGTCCGGAAGGCTATTAACTATTCGTCTCCCTCGGTAATACGGATCGCGTTAAAGGCGGCGATTACGTCGAGCTTAGTAAACTAGCGAGCCTTCGAAAGGCGTTCGAGCGTTTCGTTTACGAGAGGGATTAGGTAGCGGTTCTTTTTCGTTAACGCGTTAAGGCCCCGGTAGTCTACGTAGAAACGGAGACCTCCGCTAGGTTTCCGGGCAAACATAACTAGTACGGCTACTTCGGAGGAACTAGGGCGGATAAAGCCCTTTTATAGGTTGTCTTTAAGGTATTTCTTTAGTACGAGGAGCTCGTCTCGAGATATCGAGTAGAGAGGGCCGTACGGCGGCGGCTTACCGTCGATTAGCTCGATTTTATAGTCGACACCTAGCCGGTACGGTAGCAGAATATCGGCGTTCTTCTTCGAAAACTAGTAGAGTCGGTGCTAATACTCCTTCGGTAGTTTCGTTCTTAGATCCGTTAGTTCTTCGTCGAACTTTCGGATAGCCTTCTCGATATCCTATATTGTTATAGCGAAGATCTAAGTGCGTTTATCGCGGGCAAGACGCGAGAAGGTAGCCGCGCTAATAGCGAATACAGTACGATCTCGGGGAGTATCGGAGGTAGAACTAGATTCGTTAAAGCAGTGCTTAGCGTAATGCTTGCTCGTAAAGGATAGAGATTCGGAGGCCTAGTCGATAACCGGGTTATGCTTTTTAAGCTAAGGAAGACTAAGAATAACGGGGTAAGTCTTCGGGAGTTTCGTAAGGAAAAACATAATATGTTCGGTATACGGGCCGATAGTAATAGATAAGTAGCAGATCTAGGTTACCTTGCCGGCGGCCGCGGTCGTACCGTTAAACATTTCCAACTCCCGAGCGTACGTAAGGTCTTAGAACGTTAAGCCGAGCTCTCTCGCATAGTCGTAATCTATAAACGAGTAGCCGGTTGCGCCGTTGTTAATAAGAGCTACAGTTTTTAATGATTTCTTTTAATTTCCTATTAACGTTTCTACTACGAAAGGCTAGTAGACTAACTCTTTCTCTATAGCCGAGCTAGAGAAAGGGAAGGTAGTAGCAGATACTCTTAGTTTTAGAACGAATAAACCTTATAAGCGACTATATATAAGGTTCAAGCTTTTCCCTAGCCGCTCGGAGCAGCGCTAGCCGGTAAAGGCGTATCTAGAGTCGTAACATTCGCGGCGGCGACTCGCTATATCGTTAGCGTATTTAGCCGGCCGACGAGAGACGGGTAGAGGCGAGCAATGTATCCTTTTACTCCGCAGTAGATATATTCTCCTACCGTACGGCGACGCTGCTTCTCTTCTTCCGAAAGCTTACTATTTACTAGGGGCGCGCGTAGACGGGCGCCGAGCGAGGCAGCGCTTAAATCTATCGGATCGGCGGCAGGCTAGGCGCCTAGCGGTATTAGGGCTATAGCCGGAGCTAGTACTAAAGCCGGCGTCTAAGCTGTCTATAACTTCGACGGTAGCGTAGCGAACGGCGACGTAAAGCGACCGGTATTCGTACGGGCGCCTCCGCGGTTAGCGATGATTTTCGCGAAGTTTCGAGTCGTATTGTCGATACGCGTAAGCAAGGCGTATAGTTCGGTAATGTTTAGATTCTCCGTATCCTTATCGCGGACTTATAGTATTATTTCTTCGCTAAGGCCGCGCACTAAGATCTACTTAGCGACGTCCGGGGGGTATTCGGCGTACCTAATCTCGTATTAGAAGGCGGTATAGTACTCTTAGTAGGTCTTGTTTGCTTGCTTGAGTTTATCTAAGTTTAGGCGCGCAGTTTGCTTACAGTCGGGGTCGCCGAAACTAGCGTCGAGGGCCTTCTAGATAGTAGCCGTTATAGTTGTTTCTACATTTTCTAAGAGGCTGCGGCAGGAATCGAGGGCGGAGCTACCGAGTAGAGAAAACATAAATCCGGTCTTTAAAGCTTTAGTCGGATAGTAGTCGGCGTTAGCGAGAAAGCGGATCTTAACCTATATCTTAAATTCTTCGTATACTTTACGCTTGCCGGTAAAGCGTTCGGGGTCGCTTAGCTTCTTACTCTTATTCGAAGTAGGTATAAATAGGTAAGAAGCGGGTGCCGCGGCGCCTAGGCGAGTAGAGGCGAGCTACGACTAGAGGCGGCCTACCTCGTCTTCTTTTTCCGCGATAGAAGCATTCGCGTCGCTAAGAGCCGTACTAAGGCTAGTACGGGAGACCGAGAGGAAACGAGTAGTATCTTTATAAGCCTTAAGCAGGTTGACGAGTAGTTCCGGGTCGGTAGCGTAGGCGTAATCTAGCTGTTCGCGCGTAGCGGGGATTTCATTCTATACTAAGCTTGAAAAATCGGGTACGTCGTTAGGTCTTGTGTTTTGAATCTATTCGTTAGGCGTGTCTATCTTAATAGAGGCGTTTTTTAAGGCAGTTCGTAATATAAGGGTTAGTAGCTAAGCAGTAAGAATGTGCACGAAACTTTAAACTAAACTAAAGGGAGTACTAAATTAATATAGCTACTATCTATATAAGACGAACTGCGAAGAAAGGAAGAAGGGTACCTTAGAGGGAGAGCCCCTTCCTTAGTATTCCGCCCTACGGCCGTCTAGCGCGTCCGACGCGTAAGCGTAAGTACGTATATCCTACTTGTCCGCTGTCTCGCAGCGCCTTTATCTCCTAGCTAACTAGCGTAGCGCGTATGCGCGAACTCGTTTAACCGCTCTTAAGTAAACATATTTCTCCTAGCTCTTCCCTGCCTTCCGGTTCCTTCCTACTACTCGGATCTGTCCTACGACTCTATATGTCTCGCTTACTATCGTCCGTATATGCGTACGCGTAGTTTAGTGCAGTCCCGTCGTTCGTATATTAATATATAACGTATTGTTCTACTATATACGGCCTCCGCGGGAGTCCCTAAGATGTTACGTTATACGGCTAAGTAGGCGACCTAGGCGTACTAGGCGTACTAGGCGTACTAGGCGTACTAGGCGTACTAGGCGTACTAGGCGTACTAGGCGTACTAGGCGACCTAGGCTAACTAGGCGACCTGCTTCGCTAGGGGCCCCTACTACTAAGGCAACTTAAATCCGACATTACTTTATAGTATAGCGGCTAGCTTGTAGGACTTGTCGGTGCTTTCTAGGCAGCTACTATAACAATTAGCATCCCTTTCTATAGTATATACTAGTTCTCGCGCAACTCGTAGCTCTATTCGAGCGCCTTGCGCTAAGCCTTCTTCTTCGAGAAGTTATAGCGTTTAAGGATGTCGCTTACAGTCGTCTCGGATATAATAATGTTAAACTCGTCGTAAATAAACTATATAGTCTCGGAATAGTACGAAGTCGGTCGATCGCGTAGGTATTCGAGAACACGTAGTTCTTACGCCTTAGTTAGCTTCTAAGAAGGTTCTTTCTTCGCCTATTATAGGTACGGCTCGCTAAATAATATAATATTAATCCTTAAAGAGTTAATAGCGCGGCGACTAATATGCGTCTTCCTAGAGACACTGCGATTAGAGTAGCCTTCTGCCTATAGATCCTATATAAAAGTAATCTAATTAGGAGGTATTTGCTAGCGGGTTAGCTGCGCGTGTTTCTAACCCGATAATAGTGCTATTAGAACGCTAAAACAACACCTGGGACCGTCTATACCGCTAGGAGTACGACGACATGGTTTGCGGTATTGGAAACGCGTTGGTTGGTTTGATATGGTTCGAATTGCTAACAATCTATAGTGGTTTCGCGAATTCTATGAAATTCGCGGGGTGGGCACGGTTACTCCGGCAGCACAGTACACACAGTCTGCGGTATCTTGGCTCTTGATCGGCTCGTCGTTTTCTTCACAGCCTGAAGTATGTTCGGTACTAGAGCGACGTTCCGTGCAGGATACGGAGCAGGAGCAGCGATACGAGCGAAGAGGTTCATCCATCCCGTCCGGCGAGCGTTCATCAACTATGGGCATTACAGCACCCCGCGCTGGGTGATCGGCATTCAAGGACTCATCATCGGCTTTATAGCGCATGAATATCTTGAATGGAGGGCGGATGGCACTCCCAAAATCACCTATGCGAACAGATCGCAGATGCTGGCGGTGTGTAAATATCTCTCCATCATTCGCATCCTGTTTGCATACTCATCCAATGTCAGGCAGCGAAAGAGATCTCGGATATCCTGGGAGAAGACGCTGTAAGCTTCGATGAGGATGTGATCGAACACCATGGTCGCTCAGATTGGAGCACTTCGAATACCAGTGAACGTCCCGTCGCGGTCGTATATCCGAAGTTCACCGGAGAAGTCGCTGCTGTCGCGCGAATCTGTAATAAGCACAATGTGCCTATGGTACCTTTCGGCGCAGGCAGTTCTATAGAGGGCAACTTTAGCTCGCCACACTCTGGCATTTGTGTCGACTTCACTCATATGGATCATATCATTCGATTTCGCCCAGAAGACATGGATGTCACGCTGCAGCCGGGCGTGAATTGGGTTGATCTGAATAACAAGATTGCAAATGCTGGTCTTTTTCTCCCACTTGATCCTTCCCCGACGGCACAAATTGGAGGAATGGTCGCGACTAACTGTTCAGGCACGAACGCGATGAGATATGGTACTATGAAGGATTGGGTAAGCTCGCTGCCGCGCTTTATTGGCCGTTCTGTTGACATACCGTGCCTAGGTGATCAACCTGACTGTCGTGCTTGCTGATGGACGCATCATCAAAACCAGGAGAAGACCCAGGAAGAACTCTGCTGGATACAACCTTACGTCTCTCTTCGTCGGGGCCGAGGGCACACTTGGAATGGTCACAGAAGTGACCCTGAAGCTCGCGCCGATTCCTCAAGACACCAGTGTTGCGGTCGTCAGCTTTCCTTCCATCCGAGATGCTGCGTTAGCTGCATCCGCCATCATCCGATCTGGGACTCAGCTTGCAGCCTTAGAGATCATGGACGAATTGCAGATGCAGATTGTCAATAAATATGGCAGCGAGGCAGTGCGAAGGCGCAAGTGGCAAGAAGAACCAACCCTTTTCCTGAAGTTCAGTGGGACTACAGATGCCATCAAGAGCGACATCTCTCGGGTGCGCACCTTGATCAAGCCGCACAATGCTAGAGATTTTATCTTCGCCAAGTCCAAACAGGACGAGTACGATCTTTGGGCTGCTCGCAAGGAGGCATTGTTCATGATGGTCAGCAATAAGCCTGAGGGCACCGAAATTTGGTCAACAGATGTTGCTGTCCCCCTGTCACGGCTTGCGGAAATCATTGGTGAGTCTTTCGAAGAGTTGAAAGACACGCGTCGACCTTGACTAATCTGATGGTAGAACTCTCCAAACAGGATTGCAGCAGACTTGGCCTATTTGCAAGCGTCCTCGGTCATGTAGGTGATGGAAACTTCCACGCGGCTATGTTCTACGATCCAAAGGATCCTTCTCAAAAGGCTGCTGTCTCAAAGGTCGTCCATGATATGATGCATCGAGCCCTTAAGATGGAAGGTACCGTGTCTGGCGAGCATGCGATAGGCATCGGCAAGAAGGTGAGCCTGCTTTTGGGCTGCTTTGAGACGTGACGTGATGCTGATATACTACCCAGGATGGTCTTGTGGACGAGCTTGGTGTCGCAACCATCGATGTGATGCGAGCGCTCAAGAGATCAGTGGATCCGAAGCAAGTAGCACATTTTCGCAATTGACATTGCTGTGGCTAACAGTGCCGACAGGTGGCTGATGAATCCCGGCAAAGTCTTTGACGCGCCTGTGCGAAACATGAGCGAGAACGATGCTGCCACGAACCCGGAGTAGATTTTCGAGCGCAACCCAAGTCAGAAGATCGTGCAAGGCAGAATCGCTGGCCACCAACGATCGACCATGGATTCTCCTGGACGACAGTATCCAAAGCTGTGGCGGTGTTGCACGTGTACAATTCGAAATCAAGAACAGAATGTCGTCTAGAGTAGTAGGGCTAGCGTGCTCGCAAGTGATTAACTGAAGAGCAGCTTTTGCATCATGCCACAACAGAGCTCTGCACTGACGTTGAATAGTGGGTCAACCATCAAAAGTCGCATTCACTTGCGCGCAAGCCAGTGGCACCCTGCGGCAGCCTTGTCTATATTTCTTAGCACTTCAACCCGTCCCATCAATGACAAAATCTCATAGCTAATATCGGAAAGAGTCCAATTCTCTGGATATTATAGGAGCTCGATCGATACAAGTGACAATTCGCTCTGTTCACCAACACCATGCACCAAAAAGGGCCGTTCACAGTATTGCCCGGGCACCTTTTCATGACGAACTGACGCAAGTAGCTTCCATAGAGCTTTCGCCAGTGAGCTGTATGCATCAATTGTGATGCTTTGCCTTCCCTTCCGCCATCGGGATGACACTCGCACGCCCTCTCCGTACCGAAAGGACCACTGTGCTTGCTGCGTTGCTACCCTTACCACACTGTCAGACGAAGTCGTGATATCGACGAGCGATACGTAAAGAAAAACGTCACCAAGAAGCACCCCCATTACATCCTTTGATTTGAGTCCATCAAACGAGGTACTACATACAGACGACAGTCTTTGCACAGACATCCATCTTTCACTTCACGTCTTTCCATCCTCATTTTAGCTTCTCCAACAACTGTATTCCTTCAAACTCTCCTCCGCATCTCCCCAGCCATTCGATTCGAAAAAAGCCCCGGGAAATTTTCATCCTGTAAAGTCTTTGGTACATGCTTCTTGCAAAGCTTCCGCAGCTCGAGCGCAAATCTCTGCCGACAGCTTTCCGCGACTCTCCGTTGCTTGCAGATTCCAGCTCTGCGCACGTGGAGTCGCTCGATGTAACTGCGGGTATACAGCCAGCCATGTCGGGCTTGCTGCTCGTTCGCTTGAAGCAAAATCGCCGAGATTTTATCCAAGTGATGTTGTGAGTTTGAAGTTTGGGTGACTTGGGTCTGGTAGATGGACCTAGCACGGTCGTAGGTCTTGAGCTGGCTTCGGAGGTAGAATGGTAGGAGTGGAGGCCGGTCTGTCGGGGTGTCTGGTTCTAGTGACTGTACCAGAGCATCTGCGTCTGTCTGTAGGATTTTCAGTCGCTTGTCGATGAGGACTTCTGCACGATCTTGTTGTTCAATGAGAGTGTCGATGCGTTGGTCGACGGTTGGGTCGATATCGGAGATCATCATGATATCGGCAATTTGGTATTGTCGCTCATCGCGAAGTTCCTCGACATTCTCGAGGCTATCAATGCCGGTAATGAGTCTCTCAAGGCGGAATTTGTAGTCTTCGATGTTGCGGCATGGTCGCCGTCGTTTTGAAGGTGTCGAGCTGGGGACTCGCCCAGAGATAACTCTTGGGCCAGCAAGTGGTGCTGGTGATGCTGGTTGTCGCGTCCTGCGCGTGCTCTGCTTATCGGCATTGGAGTTGGCATTTGCTGCCGCATTGGGTGAGCTGGTGCGGCTGAAGACGTTCTTCACTGCTGTTAGGCTGTCCGCCAAGAATCTGCGCATTAGTGTCGCCATCTTGCTGACATACGTGCATGAATGTTTTGGTGTATACAGAGATTGGGAGGAACGGAAGAAAGAGATTTTCATTCGAAGTTTGCACGATGGCAGTTTCCACTTCGGAATAATAGAGCGATGTATTCAGGCCAGACAATAGGATACCGACAATAGACCAAAAAACTTGCCTTTGTTTGTGCCGGAAGGAGAAGATGTGTCCGCCACGAGAAAGAAGAGCACCCGGCAGCTGAATCTTACCATATTAGTCTTCGAAGGTCTATCAAGATATGATCAAAGCTCGTGATGTCGTTGGTCGTGCCTTGGCGAGTGATCACGGAGAGTGAAGCAGCGATATGGTGCACGGACCACATTTCATCGAGAAGGAAAACGGCTTGCTTGAACGCATCACAGAACGCGAAATATCGTGAGCCCTGATTGTGTATATCTTAGCTGGGTCCGAGTTTGCTGTCGCCGTGTTGAAAGTATTGGTCCAGGCGGTGAAATGGCACGGCACGTTCAGATTGGAGCGACACAACCAAGCATGCCAAGAGACTCGCAGGCGACCTTTCACGCAAGACAAATTGCCAGCCAGGCGACAGTGTCCACAATCGTCAGCAAACATCTGTGAGCGGATGAGAAACACTGCTCACTCACCTCGATCCTAGTCACGCTTTGGGCTCGAAGACGGTCGACATCATTACCAAAGAACACGAACGAGACTGTGAAGCGAACGTGAGCAATGCTACTGCGTGTTGCAGTATGCCATTTCGTATGGTTACATATGAAGTCCAACTCAACGCCACCGATGCAGAAGTCTTGAAAACAACAAGCAAATGCGCTATTCAGCACTTGAATAGCGATGTGTGATGCCAGGCCCAGCGGGAGGTTCGCTTCTCCCTCTCCAGAAACTCCAAACGAGAGATTTGTCTCGTGTAGTAAAATCGTCCAAATAGCGTGGGATCCTACGTGATAGGATCCGACCTCTATGATTCCCAGTTTTTGTCATGCTCTATTGTAGTGGCGCCGTGCTTTCGCAGTCGAAGGCGTCGGTGCCATGGTGCCGACTTTCTCGGCGCCTGTTCGGGTCGCGGGATTTTTGTCGCAAGTCATGGCGAGATTTACGCGATGCTTGCCAGGTTCCGATGTCTCAGATATAGTTGAAACATTCACTGCTTATCTTTATCTTTTTCTCCAATATGGCGTTCGCTCTCAGGCTTCCAGGTGCCTGCAATTTGATTAGCATCGCCGGAATAACTTGTTACAGCCGAAAGAAAGCACTCACCTTCGAACGTGTGCTGCACGAACGCCATTGGGTCATCAATGTCCTGTGCACCCATTTGTTGCACACCAGGCGAGAATGAGGTTATGGGAAGCACAACGACATCGCCGACCTTCTTGGCCTGTGTGATGCCTGTGAAGTGTTGCCAGGTGATGTTGCCTTTGCTCGTGGTCATATCGAAGAACTCGGGATTGTTGAAGAATTTGAAGATGGTGTCTGTCCAGACTGCAGGACCAGTAAATTCCACGACACTCTTGATATGCTTTCGGTCCAGTTCGCCGGCCTTCTTGCGTCGCAAAGTCTCTTCGGTGATGGTAGCGACGATGTCGACGAGCACAGGGTGGCCAGGCTTGCTTTGGATGGTCCACTGGCAGAACTGGATCCTCCGCGAATACCAGTCATGCCAATCTGGTCGGTCGGGATCTGCCTCGATGCCAATCACCAAGCCGTAGCTACTCCGCGGGACCTCTGCAGGCACCCACTCGACGGCAGACTTGAGCGCGGTTGTATCGATGTCGGAGTAGATGCCGCCTCTTGCGAGCAGGATCAGATATCGGAAGAAGTCAGCCTTCAGCACGGGCTCAGGCAGAGATTCGTATGCTTGGACAATCTCAGGAATGCTTGCGTAGAAGTGCTTGATCAAATTTGAGGCGACAGAATCGGTAATGACCTCGTGCACGAAGCTTGGGTGCAGCTCTGTCCAAGAGGCCTCTGCTGGTCTCCATTCCTCGTTGAAGTCTCCTGAAGCAGGAGTGACTTTCCAGGTCTGCCATATGTATGCAGGGAATTTACCCTCAGGATCGTATGGGAAGGAATATGATATTTGTTGTCGCAGGGGTCGCAGCTTCAAGTCGTCCAATGCGATCTGGGGTCGCGAATGCTTCAATGCTATCCTCCCTCCATTCTCGTCCTTGTAGCCTTTCGTTGGCGCTGTCGATGCAGGTTTTGCTTGGTCGACCAGCTTCTCTGGGCCGTCCGGCGAGGCGTCAACGATCTTCCTATTATCTGCGTGGGATCCAGTCGGCTTGGGAGAGTTGTTGACTTTAGCCGGGCCGGCAGGATGGGTGTTCCGTAACAGCAGGAAGAAAGTTAAGAGAAGGGCGGCAACGACGAGGGCTCGGCGGAAGGTGAGCATATTTGGTGGAGGCGGGGTGTGATGAGAGGAAGCAATGGAGGAAGGCGGGTGTGTTGTTGTTGAACACGGCAGCAGCGAAGGAGTGTCGAGTGTCGAGTCGAGGAGGATGTGCTGCTTCCGCAAGCTGCAGTGGCAGGGCTCGGTGGCCTGGCAAAGTTAGTTCTAATGGCGCTCGAAATATCGGCAGCGCTGCTGGGTGGAGATGCTGGGATGGCGTGGGCCTGCAAACACGTTCGGTGAGTAATTGGCTGTAGAAGTCGTGCCTGAGTCTGGGTGTGGGGTGTGCGGCGGGCAGGCCAGGCCAGGCATGCAGAGGCAGATGCAGATGCAGATGCAGTATTTCTCCTGTAGCAATAATCATGTGCAAGGCGAGCGAGCGTACCTTAATGTTCTCTGCACTGCAGCTAAGCACTTCACTTGTCGACCAAGGTAAGGCAGAGTAAGCTCAGCCAGTCAGCCGGTAGCCGCAATAGGGCAGCCCGCAGCTTCAGAACTGCTGTACTGTAAAAGTAACACGAATTGCGAGTGTAACGATGGCTGGGCTGGATGGTGGAAGGTGGATGGGAGCACAGATGTTCTACTAGTTCTACTCCTGCTGAGTTCTACTAGCACGTCAACGTCGCAGATTCCTCGCCTGCACTTCACATCATCATAGCCTCGATCCCGCCGCTCGGGACAAGCACTACCAGCACTACTACTGGAGCTGGTGTGTTTCAGGCTCAAGGTACGCGCAGGGGAGCAACGGGCGATGTCTGGCAAGCCGCAAGTGAGCATCGCCGTCAGATGCTCCTCCTCCACTAAAATAATAATGACGGCGACGCATGTATACTCACTGCTGACACCGACAGCCAGCTGCTCGGAGTGGCGTTGGCGGAGGCTCCACTGTTGGTCAGCGTGTGCGATCAACCAACCACTCATGCGCCTGCATGGCCAGCTGTGCCCACCCGACCTTTGTTGGTCGATGCTGCTATTCTCGCGCGACGTCCATCGTCCACCATCAGCTATTCTATCGGCACACCATTCGCCGTCAAGTTCAACGGATGCCCGCCCCGCGATGCCGATTGCGCACTGCCATGCGCGGGTGGCTTGAACTCAATCGCACACCCGACGTTTGTTGACCTGCTGCGAGCGATGACGTCTGCTCAAGTTTCGCGTTGAAAGAACAAAGCAGCGCAGCGCAGCGCAGCTTCTCCCATCCATGGCGTTCCGGCAGAGAGATGAAACGCAGAATTGCAACGTGCAAGGGAGCCTCGTTCGACATAATCATAAAATGCCGTGGAAGGGGTTCAATCAAATCGTGACGACAGCTGGCCTTGCGAAAGATCCCGACAGCTCAGTTGCAGCGGCACGTGATTGCGTGAACTCATGCGCAAAGACACCAGCTCCAGCCAGCAACTTCTCCATGTCTTCTCCACTATGATGCTGTTGGTGCTCTGTGGGGTGAGGAGCTCGATACGCGGTCCCGGCATTCACGGCCGACGAGGAAGTCCTACAAAGTTCAACCCTGGAGAGCTGACCTTGTGTATGTAAAACTCAACGAGGACCTCCTCTTAACAAAGAATGACGATTCTGAAACAGCCTCAGAGATCTGCATAGCAGTAGATTGCCACACAAAGACAACGCCGAGAAAGTAAGCTTTCTTCCCCGATGGCGACAATCCGCCGCTTCAACCAATAGATTCCAATGCTCCGCTCCTTCCAGAACAAACAAATATTCAGTGCCATACGCCACCCCGAGAACTCACAAACACGACCCGCAAATATAATCAATACTCGTCATCATCAGCACCTCGCATCGCGACCACCGCGCGGAACTGAACTCAGCCATCCATCATCCATCGGACAAAGTGGATCTGACACGCGTATACGAGGAGCCTCCTCCGAATCAGGTGTAGAACGCCTCTCAACGAACCTCAAAAAAAGAGTGCCACTATGTACAACGAGAAAAAGAAAGAAAACGAGCACTCCCGGTGAATCGGTGAATGCGAGGCCTTAAGCTTGACGTCTCTGGTATCATGCCATATCTTGCTTCCATTTGATTGCGTTCCATGCATTATTTCACTCCGCGACAAACAGCTGACAAACCCGTGTCGCTCATTCTTGTCTCATCTACTACTACCCAACCTTTCCAGATACATAATATATACAACTCTCTTTCTCCTCGTCCAGAGAACAACCAGCTCATCTCATCTCGCCTTCCCATCCCACTCGTCCGCGGCGCGTGAAATGGCAAAGGCATCAGCTCTCTTCTTCTTCTTCTCCATCTTCTCCCTTGTCTCTCGCAGAATGCTATTTTAATACAGTTGTAAGAAGTGACAACGTGCTGCGCTCTCGCCTTTGGCCCTATTCTTCCTCCCTCGCATCGCCTCGCTCTTTGCCCGAGTAGAATTTGATTGTCACCATCTCTCGTTTGAATTGCCGCATGCTGATGCGCGATACCGGCCTCGAGCTCGGACGCGCGGTCTGGCTACTTTGCCAATCTTGCTTTTGCCTTCTCGAATCCTTCCATCTGGTATTCATCACGTCCCGCTCACTTGATCTGGGCCTGAGGAGATGCCGGCCGACCCCAGAAGTCCAGCGATGCGATGACATCGTCTCCGACCTCGTCTTCGTATGCAAACAGGATCTGCATAAGGTGGTCAGTTGTCAGAGACCTCTTATCTTGTGTTGCACAACAACAATCGGTTGTGCAACCCGAGGAACGACACCGACTTACCTCTCTCGTACTCTGATGCAGGAATCGAATGTTCTTATGCGTCTGGATGCACACAAGCCCACCTGTATCGCTCTGCCGGATCTCGATGAACTCCGGCTCAAACGCAAGGATGTACTTCTCACCCCACGTCGCAAATGCATTCGGACTGCCTTCCCAAAGGATCTTCCAGTCGCCACGTGCTCGCCATCCGTTCTTGTTGACATAGAACGAGAAGTCGTTGTAGCAGAGCAGGAACTCTGAAGTGTTGCGTTCGATATAGATAGGCTTGACGTTCTCCTTTCTGGCAACGAAGTCGAGCGATGTATCTGCTTGGTCGAGGAGCGATTGCGTTTCGAGAGTCTCGAGCGACACGATTTCGAAGCCTTTCGCGCCGCCCACGCACAGCTTGCTGCGGAGGAAATGGATGCTGTTGCTTTCCATGGGAATGTAGAATTCCTTGTACGGCTTGAGGACCTCTTGCCCGCTGGCCAGCATCTTTGCGAACCCGGACTTCTTTTTACCCTTAGTCATCGAGTCCATCGGTTCGTAAACCTTCACAGTGGATGAAAGCGATGTGGATTTGACACAGCACACCAGCGTCTGTCCATTACACATGCCCGCGTTGATGTAGTTGGCGTGGCAGATCTTGCGACCACGTTTCGACGGCGCGCCAGGGCTTTCGTCTTCCAATGCTTCCAGAGGATAAGTGCACACAGCTTTGTCGGCGAGAACAACCAGGATCTGATGCTGTTCCAGCACTTCCAGCTGTGTCACCATCTTCTGATCCAGCACTCGCTTTGGCTTCACAGAAGCGTCCTTCGGCTTCCTATCACAGACGTACACCCCAAAATCCGTGCCAATAACCAGTTTTCGACCACCATCGATCGGGCGGCAGCAGTTGACTCGGACAGTCGCATTAAAGTAGCCCTCCGTCAACTTGGCCATGGTGAAGATCTTGTGTCGCTCGGACAGTTTCTCTTTCTGATTCATGATATGTTCCATCCACTTCTCTCGTTGCACCTGGGACGTACAGTATAGCGTGAGCTCGTACCCGCCCTTGCCGAGACCCTTGAAGGTGATGGGGTAGCCTTGTTCGTTTGCTGGTGCTCTCGCAGCTGCACGTCCGACACCTGGAATCATACTGGACGAAGGTCGTTTCGCGATCCCCATCCTAGGGAGAACGTGATCCATTTCCTTGATCTGGAGCAATTCCAGCGGGATTGGCTTGCGGTAAACTCGAATTTCTTCTTTCTTGTTGACCGTCTTCACGCGCACGATCAGTACAGCATGATCGAAGAGGTAAGCTGTGACATCAGCTTGTTCCGCAGTCAGGTTCTTCTTCAAATTACTCTTGAAGATGAGCTGTCTGGACTCCTCGGTCAACTTCAAATCCATGTGCGGAATTGTTCCCCATTTCAGCTGGGAGTTCAGGTTCATCAGGTTGAAGTGGTTCTCAGACTTTCCAGACTCCTCGTTGACCCTGCTTAGGAATTGCTTGATTTGCTCGATGGCCTTGGGTATGTCTTTAATATCAGGATTATTCTCGTCGGTGTTTTTGAGGACGTTTTCTAGGAGCAATGGGTATCTTGCGAGACGTGTGGTGGGCTTGGTCAGATAACCATTCAGTTCCAGCTTTCGCGATTCCTTCAGTCTTTCAGTCTCTTCAGTGAACCGTGCAAAAGCAGGATTCGAGCCCTTCTCCTTCTCGAACTCAAATTTACCAAACAGCTGATTTGCACCATAGCGGATAAATGGGTGAAACTGAGGCACATATTCCAGGAAGATATCGCCGACATTCCGCACCACCGGGTTTTGCTGCTGTCGTCGTGTCAAAGCTTGAGCCATTCGAGCGTTCACACTGTGGACTTCTTGGCAATTCGAGAAGACGGTCCGGATAAATTTTTCGCGACGATGCTCAGGAATCGGCGAGATCTCTGGCATACGAAGTGGTTTGATCCAGAAGTCCCGCAGATACTCGAGGTCCTTTACGAAATCACGTTCCGTGTACATAATCTCGGAGATGACTTCTTGCCTCTTCTTCTCCTTGTCGCTGACGCTGTCAGAGATTTCCTTGGATACAGTGTTGATCCAGAGCTTTTGCTCGCTATCGGCTTCATCGTGCAAGCTCGACTGCGAAGTCTGTCTCTTGAGACCAGGCGAGACCTTCATGTTCAATCTCTGCTGCTGTTCAAGTCGTCGCGGACACGCGATCGAATAGCACAAATTGTCCCTATTACAGGTCGGAGAATAGCACTCTGTCAAGAGTGTGAAGACACCATTGACTTCCGGGGGCTCCTCGTTGATGCTCTCCTTGAATTGATATATCTCATTGGGAGAGTCTCGCAATCTGTGGGCGTAGGCCACCTCGTGGAAGAATTTCTGTGCATCGAGAGAGCGTCCAAGCAGAAGTGCTAGGTTTCGGTCCGAGGTGCGGATGATGTAGGCAATGAGCTCCACTGCCTCGTAGCCACTGAAAGCATTCTTGTACATCAGACCGTCTTTCTCCTTCTCCTGCAAAGCAATCCGTTCTCTAAAAGCCGACGCAACATTTGACAGCAATGCACCGTACACAAGCGAAGGTCGCTTCTGTGCCACCATAGTACCAGTGCGTGAGCTATCTGTTCGCGCAGGACCTTGCACACTTCCCACCGACGGTCTTTGGCCGCCTTCGGAGGGCGACACCACAGTAGAAGCCATAGACATGGTGCGGGAGGCCGGAGTGGTAAAGCTGCCACTACTCGGGTGTCTACCTTGCCCAGTATAGCCATTGGATGTGCGATCAGGGTGGAAGCCATTGCTCATGGTGGTATCGGTCTCACCAGATTCTCGTCTCCGGTTCGGAATCACTCTGCCACTCATGGTCTGCGAGAAGTCGTGATCTCTTGTATACGAAGACATGGACATGGTGCGCTCATCTTGCGGCCGATCCGGCACCACCCTTCCTTGAGCTGTTGTCCTCGCCAAGCTTTGATTCATGTAGGGCTGCTGTCGAAAAGCGTGCGCGGGAGAGATGGTGTAGTTGTTGCCCGGAGATTGATAGTGCGGACGGGGGACCGAGGCTAACGACTGAGTGCGGTAGGCGTCACTGTTGAGCGCAGGGCCGGGCGGACCGGCGTAGGGTCGTTGCGTGAATGAGCGCTGGTAATGGCCTGGCGGAGGCGGCCCTCGGGTATCGAGACGCTGTGGTTGGCCATATGGCACGCGGTCGGGGCGGATTGGCTGTGGGAGATAGTGAGGCGGGCGTCGTTGCTGTGAAGGCTGTCCGTCCATATACGGCTCTTGCCCTTGCGCATGCCCATTCGGCTGCTGCACTCCAGGCCGGACGGGAGGAGCGCGTTGCATATACTGGCCAGCGGGCGGTGGAGCGGTGCTGGTGCTGGTCATGGTCTGGCTGCGACCCTGGCCTGGAGGTGCCGCGCCGAAGATGCTAGAGTAGGCGGCATCGCGGTTGACGTTCTGCTGCTGGCCATAGTCGCGCGGGTAATTGGCCATTGCTGGCTGTCTTCAGCGTGTTACTGCGTCTGCAGACTCGAGAGTGTGCGCGTGCGCATGCGGCCAAGGCCAGGCCCATCAACCTCGCCGCCGCAACAGCACGGCACAGCACAGGACAGAATTGGGTCGGCGGGGACGGCACGCACGCACGCACGGATGGCTATTGATGCTGCTGCTGCTGAGGCCTTGAGGAGTCGATAATATGCGGACGCGCGGACGCGAGAGAGTCCCGCCCAGTATGGTATGCGGCGGCGCTGTCAGGGCGTTGGGAGGAGTTCGCTTCGGCTACTCCGACTGTCCTGTTCTGTGGAAGTGTGGTCTGCAAGTCGACAGACCGCGCTAACCGATCTCGATCTCCAACCCAAGTCAAGCTCATGAACACATGCATTATTGCCCAGCTGCCACCACTTCGATTCTTCTTCGACCACTCTCCCATCGACCCATCACCACACACAGGACTTGGCGCGCACACGCTTCGACTGCTACGCTTTAATCCCCGCGATCCCTCTCACGATGGCGGACTCGGAGCTCACGCCCAAGTTTGCGCCCTTCTTAGGCATGGGTGGCATAGCTTTCGCCATGATCTTTGGCTGTATGGGAACTATGGAAGCGTGAATGAAATGCGCAATGCTGAACATTGGACAGGTGTGGGCGCGGCATACGGCACAGCGAAATCAGGTATTGGCATTGCGAATGTCGGTACCTTCAGACCGGATCTCATCATGAAGGTACATGAAGAACGGCACAAACAGGAAGAGCAGTGCCTGACACTTGAACACAGTCCCTGATTCCAGTCGTCATGTCTGGTATTATTGCAGTCTACGCGCTCGTGGTAGCTGTGTTGATAGCTGGAAACATGAAGCCTCCGCCAGACCAGCACTACAGTCTGTACAATGGATGCATGCATCTTGCTTGCGGACTTTCGGTTGGGCTCACAGGACTTGCGGCGGGATACGCAATAGGCGTCGTGGGAGACTCGGTATGTGATTTACGGGAGGAGAGCGACGGACTCATTAGATTGACAAAACATCACAGGGTGTACGCGCGTACATGCAGCAATCGCGGATCTTTGTGGGCATGGTGCTCATCCTCATTTTCGGAGAAGTCCTCGGACTCTACGGGTGCGTGGTCAAGAGGATACAAAACGCGTTCAATTGCTAATGGATGTGTACAGCTTGATCGTGGCGTTGATTCTTAACACGAGAGCTTCTGGTTGAGAAGGATAGTTGTTAAATCCAATTATTGTACTGCCTACGCCTACTGTGCTGTTCGCGATGGTCGCGAGCAGGTTTCCATCAATCGATGCCGAGATGTGGTCGTGGGAGCAGGCTGCTGTGATATGAAACGGCAGTGCACGCGGATCCTTCTTTGCTTGTGACCTGGCTGCAGGCAGCTGGATTGTGAATATGTACCGGAATGCTGCACGAAGGTCAAATAGCATAGCGACGGCGCTTGGGAAGATGGATTATGTGAAGTGCTACCTTACGATAGAAAACGCCGACCGAGGCATTTGACAGTCTGCCTCTCAACAATGCAACTGCTGATGACAGTGAAAGTACGTGAAAGACTGAAAGATGATCTTCTGCTGCTGCTGCTGCGAGCGTGGCGTGGCGTGGAGCGGATTGCTCGGGGCGAACCTTGCGAACCTTGTTGCCCCAAGGCAGCCACTTTCCTTCATCTCGAAGGAGGTAGGCAGCCGAATTACTGGCTGACCGAAAATCACCTTGCGGCGCACCAACACGATGCACGAGAATGCGCATTGAAGTTGACGGCCGCCGAGAGTCTTCACGAACATCTACCCGCCTAGGACGACTGCAAGACGACATACACATCCCGAGCGCAACTGGAATTCCGCTCGAGTAGAATACTATGCGCCTGAGGCAACAGCAACATGGAGGGCTATCACTATTCCCCCGGCATCCATCGGCCGGGCCATCTCAGCAAATTGTACTCCGACGCGAAGAAGAGTGCACTCACGAGCTTGCAAGTGCAGACGGCCTCCAATGCCCAGTACACGTCACTGCATCGAAAGTATCGCATCCAGAAGGACAGGCTGATTGCGTGGGGCCTGGAATGGAGCGATGGCGAGAAAGGGTCGGATGCGAATATTGACGACGCCGTCACCAAAGCTGGGCTCTCAGAAACGGTCGAGAGTGTGCTACGCAACATCCAGGAGGTGACCGAGGAAGCCGAACGGATCAAGTCAGCAAGCTTACCTCTGATCAAAGAGGGCGAGGCCTTTCCTCAAAGGCCTGCAGTATTTGATGAAGCGCGATATGAAGACCTGCTGCGTGACCTGACCACCTCAATAGACACCCTCTACGATCTTACGCAATCCCGCCGAGCACTTGCTCGTGGCGAACATCCCACATTCGAGGACCCTATCGACATCCCGATGGAACAGCCACTGAAGCCAAGCTCCAGCATCTCGAAGAAGCCCTGGAAGCGTCTCTATGACAATGCCAGCTTTGCATCCTCGGGAACCACACTGCTCAACCCCACCTTCTCAAGACCTTTCCTGTCACCGTACGCAGGCTTGCCATCGAGGATAGAGTTGTCTGCCCTTCGCCTGCCTATCGAAACGCCACCGCCATACGAAGCTGTAGGGGTGCCGTCGACCACTCGCATGGTAGCACTACTGGTACGGAATAGAGTCTCAGGGAGTGTCCAGGCTGCCATTGCAAGCTCTGCGCCTGAGGTGCCAGTGTTAGTGGAGTATGCAAACTACGATGCCACTTACAGAGCGACTGGAGTGCCGCCACCGCTTCAGCGACTTGAGGCTCTAGCTACTTTCTTCCAGCCCATGCGTGCCGACTCACAGACCAACTTGAGTTTGTTGGGCTATTTTGAAGACTCGGACCAGCCACGCATTGGACTCGTCTACGACTTACCCTACACCATACAAAACAAGCTGCAGACTGGAATGTCTACTGAACCACTGGCGCCGCTCAGTCTGCTTAAGCTCGTGCAGAAGGCCAATAAGCAACAGAGCTCATCAACCGAAGTTCCTGCACCAGCGCTCGAACATCGTTTCCGCATGGCATTGCGGCTGACGGAGCAGCTTCACTCTCTCCATGCCAGCCAGTTAGCTCATGGCAACATCAACAGTAGCAGTGTCATCTTCACCACCACCGAAACTGAGACTGAGGCGAATCGCTTGGAGCAGCTTCGGAAACCACTTTGGGCCTCCTTTGATCTCTTCTCCAAGTCTAACATTGAAGGCGTCAATCGAGCATCAGACTTCAACATCTACCGACATCCGCTTGACGAGCCCAATGGTGTGGATAGGGAGTTTCCAGTGGATCTCAAATTCGATCTTTACGGACTTGGTTTGATTCTTCTCGAGATTGGTCTCTGGACACCTATTGGTGATCTTTACAAGGCGAAATACACTCTTGCTGATTTCAAGCTCCGCCTTGAAAAGATTTGGATCCCCAAGCTTGCCGCCAAGTGCGGCTCAGCATACATGCGTGCTGTCGAGACATGTCTTCGACTCTCGGACGACATGGATAACTCGCGACTAACTGCCGAAGGAGTATACGGCCTTCTACTGCAATTTCTAAAGCGATGCTGCTTGCTTGACGATGTCGGTTCGCCCACTGAGCTAATTCCGGCATCCGAGCTAGTTTCACAGCCATCCTCACCTGCGGAGAGTTACAGGTCGCCAAGAAGGAGGCATGCGATACGCCGGCCCTCCGAAGCTAGTTCCTTAGCCAGACAGCTTTCGGAGACTGTCGAGCCCAGACGATCCATGTCGGGGAAATCGGCTGCTCGATCTCACCGTCACTCTTCGTACCCGGCGCTCACGCCACTAGCTGGCACGACCCTCACTGATCCAGAGCAGTCTAGACAAGGCTCAAGAGCGGGTCACATCTCGACAAGACCTGGATTGGCTGAGGTGAAAGAACAAATTATGGAGGGGTGGCATTCCAGATCCGAGCCATCAATCAGAGATTTCAAACGACGAGTCACCCTCATTCAACAACGCTGGCGACAATGTCATGCAGTTAGGCAGCAAAGGCTTCAGGCCGCTGAAGCGACTCGCACAAGTATGGACGAGGAAGCGGAGCAGCTTGCTAATGGCAAGCGAGCGGAGTTTCCTGACGTGCCACTTCCACAAAACATCCTTGACCATTGGCAGAACACCATGTGCTTTCAGATGAACGCACTTGTTGCCAAGGCCCTGCGACATTCGAAAGAAAGCTGTTCGATAAGGCTATGCCCTTACGGCGAGTCAAAGGCTACAGCAAGACCGACGCTCATCGTTGGCTGCAAGTCTACCTCGAAAGTCAAGCATGCCCTCAAACGACATCTCAAATATGACCCCAGCATGTATGACATTAGAGTGAAGAAAGAAGGCGAAATTCGACGATGCCGGAAATCAAGACGCGAACGAGCTCTTGAAGCTGCAGAGAGAAGCATGGCACCTTACCGCGATCCGAACGTCGAGAAGGCCGTCAACCCAGATTACCAGGAACGACCACTGTGCGGCGCGTCCATAGGCGCTTTCAGGTATGAAGAACACCTACCACCGGCTTCATTTGGCGGAATCGTATTGATAGATGGGAAGCCGTATGGTATGAGCGTCCATCACATGCTGGAGCCAGAAGATGTTTCCGATGACGAAGATGCCAACGACGAGGATGAGGAAGATGATGATGACGATAGCTCGAGCCTTGGCAGCTCAGACGGCGAGTCAGGTATGTGCTGGCATATCTAGCTGAAGACATATATCCCACCTTCAGATGCCCATGTCGTAGTGTAGTCACTCCCTCGTCTGTCGTCGTACAAATGCTTTGCCTTGCAATAAAGAGAGACGATCCATTGCTAACATAATCGCAGAGGATGACGACCTCAGCACAGTCCGACCACCTTCAGCACACTCTTCTGACGACGAACCACTCCCTTCCTACGACACGGCCGGTGACTGTCCGGGCCTCTTCCCCGGTGACATGGAAGAAATCGCCATTACTCAACCCGCCCTCGACGACGCCATCGACTTAGACCTTCACGTAGAAGAGGAAGACGAAGATGAAGAAGACTCCGGCATAGACGAAGACCACCTCCTCTCCTATCGACTCGGCCAAGTCCACGCCTCCTCCGGTCTCCGCCGAACCCTCAAATCCCACGAAGGAGGCTTCAAATCTATCTCCCAGTCCCTACCCCAAGAAATCGACTGGGCGCTCTTCGAACTCCTACCTCCACGTCTCCCAACTTACAACATCATAAAGGGCGGCACGCGCTTCTGTCGCAAAGGAGGTGATCGTCACGGAAATTCCTACCCCACATCCATCCGAGCAAGCCAAGACATCGCTCACGCCAAAGTCCATTGCCTCGGACGAACATCAGGACTGGGGAGTGGTATCGTGTCGAGTACAATGGAACTCGTAAAAATCCATGGTCGCAGTACCTTCAGTGCGAGTTGGACGATCACAGCAGCCAACTTTGGAGTGGGAGGTGACTCTGGTGCATGGGTGATCAGCAATGAGGACGGAAGAGTTTGTGGACATGTCCTCGCTAGTCGACAAGGTAGAACGTATATTTGTCCTATGGATCTGTTGTTAGAGGATATTAAGCAGACGCTCGGAGCGGAGGAGATTTCTTTACCTGTGTTGAGTGGGGAGAAGGGGAATAAGTCGAGGCCTGTGAGTGGCGAGAGGCCTGGGAGCAGTAGGGAGACCAGTCCGCAGTGTGGAATGGTTAAGGCTATGAAGGATATGAGGTTGGAAGGCGGCGTTGCATTGCCGGCGAGCCCTGCTAGGGCAGGGGTTAGGACTGTTGAGCCTGTTTGAAATCAGCCCTGCTTTGGCTCGGAATAGTGACGATGAGGAGCAGACTTCATTAGTATGATACAGTATTGTACAATGCTCTGTTCTCAAGCATATTCGCCTCGCATCTCGTTGAGTGCAGCTTTTTGCCGTTGAGCGCTGAGTCGTTCAAAATTGTCGACGACCATCGTGAAAGTCCCTCGTCCAGCGGTCAGACTTCTCAAGTGCTTGAGATATCCTACCATTTCTTTCAATGGTACTCTGGCGACAATCTGTCTCATACCACTGCCTCCACTTAGACTTGCATGGGCGAATCCAGAACTGCTTCCGGCGAAAGGGTCTGGGGGTGTATATATCTTCTTCACGTCCATGTCCTGTTGCGATGCATCGGTTTCATCCTCGGCGCCGAGAGATAAAACGCTGCCTCCACGTGCTGATGAGATGTCGTGCACCACAGATCCTAGCGAGTCTTCGTTGACGGAGATTGTGACTAGCATGACGGGCTCCATCATGACGCTTGGACTCGATTCTGCGCTCTGCTTCAGAGCCGAGTGCACAGCCAGTCGGGCTGCGGAAGAGAGCGCTGCTGGTGTGGTGTTTGAGAAAAGATGCTGCGAGGGGTCAAACGTGATATTGATATCTGTCGAGTGAAGAGGGTAGCCATGGACGGGACCGCGAGCCATAGCAGCCGAAACACCATTCTGGAATGATTGGAGAAGTGTCTGCATCGGTATAGTGTCTGGTAGGCTCGGCTTCTCCTCGTCAACACTTGAGCCATCCTTGCGAAGTGTTGGCGTAGTGATGGTGAGGCAATTGTTGTCGTGGAGCGTGAAGGTGTGCGTGTGCTTGCCATCTGGCCCAACTTCGTCGTCTAACGATTCCACACTAGCCATGCAAGCGGCTTTGGCACTCTTGCCTCCAATGTCGCGATCAAAGACCTCAGTGATAGACGCACTGGCCCCAGTCACTGCTTCACGGTAGCCAATCTCAATGTTGCCAATTCGGGCTTTGGCCTTGAGGTCCTGTACGAGACGATCTCTTGCAATCTCGAGATGGAGCTCGCCCATACCAGATAGATGCGTCTGGCCGCTCTCTTCATCGACTGAGACGTGCAAGCTGGGATCCTCTCGCAGTAGAAGCTCTAGTGACTCCTTTATAGGTCGCTCTTCTGCTAGGCTGTTTGGCTCAACACTGACGAAGAATACTGGAGGCGGCACATCGATTGGTCGAAGCTGTAATGTGCTGACTGGAGATGGCGGTCCAGTCTTGGGGTTGGCCCCATGATACGAGATCAAGGTGTCTCCTGTCCTGGCAAATTTGAGACCAGGTATTACTCCAATCTGCCCTGCAGAGATGGAATCGATCTCCACAGCATCATTTGCATACATTTTGAGCAGTCTCTGAGCTCGTTCCATATTCTGCAAGTTAGTGTTCCAGAGAGATACGTTCCTGTTTAGAATGCCAGAGTACACTCGTACGTAGACCAGGACGCCGCGTTTCGCATCGGCGACGACTTTGAATGCCAGCGCGCAAGTCTCGAGATTCTGCAATGCCATCGACGGTTTTGCTTTGCCTTTCTTGAGCTCCGCTGGCGCAGCCTTGGCAACGAGTTTGCCAGACAAGAAGGCACCAAGACCACCCTTGGTGGCAGAGTCGGAGCCAAGGCTGACTTCAGGATCCGGTCGCTCTTCTGGTGCAGGCAGTAGGTCGACAACCGCGTCCAGGAGCGGCTGGACTCCAATGTTCCGAAAGCTAGCTCCTGCATACAGAGGTGCGACTTGCTGGGGATTTTGCAATACACATCTTCTAAGCGATTCGATCGTGTCGTTGGAGCTGATTGCCAAATGGTCTTCCTCAGCTTCAAGGTACTTCTCGACCATTTCATCATCATGTTCAGAAAGTCGTTCAACCAGCGCGATACGAGCTTTCTTCAGCTCTGCAGCAAGTGCCGGATCTTCAGCCTTCAGCTGTTCCATGTCGAAGGTTTTGATATCTTTGCCATCGCCACCTTCGGGATATTTGAGCGCTCGAAGACCGACAACATCGCCGACGCCCTGCAGTCGTCCTTCAGAATTCCACCAGGGAATGCCGCACACAGCAGGCCAAGCATTAAGTCTTGCTCCAACTTCCTTTACAGTTCTTGCAAATGCAGCACCATCCCGGTCCAGTTTGTTCACGAAGATAATCTTGGGAATGGCATAGGCTCCTGCTTGAGCCCATACTTTTTCCGTCTGCGCCTCGACTCCTGCCACGCCGTCTAAGATACATACTGCTCCATCTAGAACTCGCAATGATCGTAAAACCTCGAATGTGAAGTCCGCATGGCCAGGTGTGTCGATCAGATTAATGTTGTGTGGGATCGAAGATCTTGGAGTTCCGGGTGTGGATGGTTGCTCCTTATGGCCAGCAGATGGGGGCCAGGAGAATGAGATGGCTGCGGACTGAATCGTGATGCCTCTTGCACGCTCAGCAGGTAAGAAATCTGTCACCGTGCTGCCTTCATCGACGTCTGACTATCTCTCAGAATGGTGAAGAAGAAGAAAGAGTACTTTGAGGTCGCCTACCTCCTAATCTTCTTGTGAAGCCACTATAGTAGAGCATGCGCTCCGTTGTGGTTGTTTTGCCCTACCTTGATCGTGAGAAGGTGAGTGCATGCTACCCAGTTTTGATCTACCCACGGCATCGATATGTGCTATAATCCCAATGTTTCGCGTGCGAGCGAGTGCCGCCGCCCGGGTAGCAGGAGGCGACGAGGCATGGTCCCTGGTGGAAGAGGCAAATGTTCTGGTCGCGTGTCTGATGGAGATGCCTATCCGTATGGAATGCTGTCTACACAGCCATCGAACCGGCATCACCAGACGTACAGATGTAAACGAGTGACGATTTCCGGGAGAGGATCGAAAAAAGTGTAGTGAGAATGAAGTTCCTTTTGTGATACAGATGGCAATAGGAAAGGGAGAGGTAAGGGTCTACGATGGTGTGTGTGTTTTCGGCTCGCAAGCGCGAAAACGAGCGAGGCAGGAGTGATGCCGGCACGGACACGGACCCGCGACCATCACAGGTCCAAGGCCCGCAATAGAATAATAATCGTAATGCAGGCAGGCAGCTCGTCCCACACACCCCCTACGTCTCCATCAGCATCGGCCACTGCAAGCGGCAAGGAGAGAGTGCCGAACAACTTGCGATTCCAGAGGCGGCAGTCAGAGCGAGCATTTGTCGAAACACAATACCGCGAGGCCACGCCGACCAGCACTCCCGTCATGGACTATCCCACAGGCTCGTCACCCTGGGCCAGCTCGCCTGACGCCAGCCGCACCAGTTTTGGCGGCGACGATGTACCCAGAGAAGAATTGCCTGCGCCGGCCGTGCAGAGTGTGGACGCTGAGCATCCCAATGGCGAGCATGAACATGGTGCCTGGGCCTCACAGCAGGAGCACGAATCTTCACATGAACAGTCACAGGGCCAGTGGGGCCAGCAACAGGTCCAGCAAGCACACGAACAACAAGTGTCACCGCAGCAGCGAGGCTCGGGCGAAGAGAATAGGCGATCAGCCAGCGCGAGATACCACAATGTCCAGCAGAGGCAGCATATGCCGCAGTATAAGCTACAGGCCAAGATCACAGGTCTGGAGCGCACAGGCAAGAAAGATCCAATTCTGAGGTTCGATGTTCATGTATGCCATCCGAGCTATATCAGACAGTATTGTGAACTCATGCTAATGATATACCTAGACCAACCTGCCCAAATTCAGGACGACTCAATTCCGCGACATCCGCCGCACTCATTCTGAATTCCAGAAGCTCGCTGCACATCTTCAAGCCGCCAATCCGGAAGCATTAGTCCCTGCTGTCCCGCCTGCCTCGACCAGCGCCGGCATGGGTACGGATGAGGATGAAGCTCGAACCAAGACGGCTCTTCAGCGATGGCTGAACGTGGTGTGCTCTAACGAAGTGCTCATGAGAGATGAGGAGATGGTTTTTTTCGTAGAGAGTGACTTTGGATACAGTCCAGTGGTGCGGAAGAAGCAGCCTGCGACGGGCGTGAGGAGAAAGGTGCTCAAACAGTTTGCACCGCCCCCAGATGACACACCGGAACTGCTTGAGAGTAGGCCTATAGTTAAGGCTTTCTATCTCGGATCGATGGACAGCCAGCAGAAAATCGACAGGGTGGTCAAGAACAGACGAGGTAAGCGCAACTTGTGTGCGACGCGAAAGCATACTGACTCGTGTCAGCTTTGGGGCTTGCGGAATCAGATCTGGGCGTCAAAATTCAGACATTGTCAAACAATGAAATGCATCCTGGTCTGGCCAACGCATATCGCAAGCTTGGAAAAGTGATCCAGAATACTGGAGACTTTCACGCGGCACAAGGCACGGCGGAAGCTGCGACGCTCTCCGATCCGCTAGCGTACCACAGCAGCGACGCTTTTATCGTGAAAGAAACACTGACCAATCGACACATCCTCCTGCGCGAGCTCATACAGGCTCAGCAATCAACGCGAAGCAAGCTCCACGCTGCTGATCGACTCAAGGCCAGTTCAAGTGTGAAGCGCGACAAAGTGGACGAGGCGATATCTGCCCTGGACGAAGCACGCAGTCATGAATCGTACCTGCAACAGAAGACACATCGAGTCACGCAAAACTTGGTCGTAGAGAAGAGGAAATGGTTTGCACGCACTGCTGCAGACATGCGGACAGCGATACGGGAGTATGTCATTAGAGAAATCGAGGCGGAGAGACGGACATTAGCCACGCTTGAGCAAGTGCGACCTGATGTCAGGAATATCGATGCATCTGGGGGACTTTCGAGATTGGGTCGTGAAGCACATCCTGTGGTCAGACGCAGTAGCATGGCGTCTTCACAAGGGCCAAAGGGCGACGCATGGTCTGGCGTGCCTCGCAGACCAGATGGCTTGAACCGAAGCATAAGCGGAACCTGGCCAGGCGCCGTACCTGAGGAAGGCGAGGAGGGAGAAGAAGGTGTCGAAGGTGGTCGCAAACGTGCGACGAGCTCGGCCAGCAGTCTTGGCAAATTAAAGGACGACGATGATGATGATGATCGAATTGATGCAAGAAATGCTGCTAGTAGGCTGGCACAGACGACGTTCTAAGGGAGCTGGACGCGAAAACGTTCTGTTGTATGAAGCTTTTCCTACATGCTCAAGACTCCGGTTGAGAATATGGGCAGAATGTAAAGATCTCAAATGATAGCGACAGTATATCCTCTCTCCTTCACCCGCCTTTCACGGCGCTCCTGGTCCTTTATTTGCGTACGATATTCCCCTGGTTCGAAGCCCCGAAAGCTGCCGGCATAGCCCATAAACCAAAGAATCTTTACAGACAAGACCATTCGGCTCAGCTTGGGGAACTCCATACTCCAGAAGGAGTGTCCTGCGATAATAAAATCGAAAAAAGAAGGCATCCTTGACCTAGTCGCTCGGGTTTAACTACCGAGAATTACCTCCTCGCTAAAGTGCCGAATCCTGCATCAGCCACATGGCCAACCAAACATCTTGGCGGACAGGGTACCTAGCATCTCGCAGGGACCCATGCCGTGTATGTTGTGGTTCAGTTAGGTGATATGCTGGTTAGCTGATACCATTAGCTAACCTATACTAAGAGGAAGGACGTACAATAGGTATATTAACTGCAGTTTCTGTAGCAGGCTCCTAATCCTTCTTCGTACAGTTATATAGTTGTCAATCCGATAATTAGTTGCATCTTTAGCACGATTTACAACAGGTTATAAGCCCGGCGTATACGCTCACCTATCTAGTTCAACTATAAAAGAACTGTTTCTAGAGTCCACCAAATAGAGCTAGCTATCTAGACCTATTAGGTACCTAGTTAAGAGCTCTAGTTCGGACCAAAACCTAGCAAGTGTCCCTTATAAGCCCTGCCTAGCACTATACTAAAAGGCAGCTAGGAACGATAGACACTAATTAGACAAAGACAGCAAAGGAGAATTAGGTTCTTAGGAAGGGGATCAACTTCTAAGACTAGAAGCTTATATTCTAGGCGGCCCTTCTAGAAAAGGACCTAGTTAGTATAGTATTCTATAGACTTGACTAGGCTAATAAAATAAAACCACCTCTAAAAAGCATGTTTATAGGGGACTTAGCCGATCAGCAGTATAGAGACATGTTTAGGGATTAGAAAAAGAAAGACATCTAAGCCCTAGGCATACTTATTGCTAGACTCGACCCTGCTCTTAGACTAGACTTCGGTAATACACCTAAGTCAGCTAAGGATACATACGACTATATTAAGGCTCTATACAAGCCTATTGTAACCGTAGACATATTTGATACTATTAAACTTATTAGGCATATTAGGATACCCCTTACTAATCCGAACACCTAGCAGTACTACGAATCTTTTTAGCAGTAGTTTAATAGATTTCAAATATCGACAGAACAATTTGCTAGCTCAGTTATAACAACAGAAGCGCCTATAAAGTCATTAGACATCAAGATGCCTAATATGCTTGTTAGGATGCTGTTTATTTAGGGCCTTTCTAGTTACGAATAGCTTAGATCCTAGAAGCACAACAATAAGCCTAAAGCTAAGGACTCCTCCCTTAAAGCAATAATAACGTCCCTAAGGAGAGAAAAGCCTCCTAGACAGTCATCTAGCGGCTTAAAGCTTGTTAGAGGGGCTATTGGCAATAATAACGACTAGTGCACTTAGTGTAAGCACAAACACACTAACGCTAAGTGCTATAAGCAACACCCTAATATAGCACTACCTAGTTAGGGGAAGAAAGACAAGAGCAAAGACAAAGACAAAGGCAAGAAGGGTAAAGGCAAAGGAAAGGGCAAATCTAGTAGTGCTATCAACAATAATAAAGATAAATTAGACTCCTCCTCTAACTCGGAAGATAAGGGAGACTATCAGCTAGACGGCCTTAGTAGGGGCCTAATTGGGGGAGCTATTGCAAAGCCGGGACTAGCTATAGTAAGCTCTAAGAACCTAACAGCTAATATAAAAGTTTAGGACATAGGTATATTACTGCATATTATAGGGAACAAGAGCTAGTTTAGCGATCTCAAGCACCTAACTAAGCCTGTTTAGTTCTCCTAAGCAGTAGGAAAATTAAGTGTATTACGATTAGGAACTGTCAATATCTTCCTAACCTATAAAGGAAAGAAAACCCCAATTACTCTAATAGACGTCCTCTACTCCCCGAACTCAGATTGCAACCTAATCTTAGTAGAGCGCCTTTAGAAGAAATATAGCATTCACTTAGACAGACCTTTAGGCACTTTAATACTTAAAGGCAAGCTAATTGGAAAAGTTAAAGAAGTATAAGGAGTACTTGCCCTTAAAGACGCTGAAGTCAAAATGCTAGGCTTAGCTTTAAAACTAAGCTTAGAATCGAGTTAGAAAGGGCAGCTGTTAGCCCCAGCTATCGCTAGACTACGAGCGGACACATTAAGATAGTATTAGAGACTTAGCTACGTCGGCAACAAGATCCTAATAGCTACTAAAGAAGCTATTCTAGGCCTAGAAGAAGTTAATACATCTAAACTCGAGCACTATAAGACCTACAAGCTCTCGAGAGCTTAAAGAGTTATATTAAGAGAACACAGGACTAGACCAGAAAAAGCCCTTAACGAAGTCTATATCGACCTTGTTAGCGTACAACTATTTGATCTATTTGGAAACAGGTATATCATAATCCTAACTAATGCTAAAACTAGGCTTAGGTAGGGTCTATTACTTCGAAACAAAGACAAGGTAACAAGTGGTAACAAGCTAACTAACTGGATAGCTAGAATCAAGAGGCAATATAACAAAATCCCTAAGATTATCTTTAGTAATAGCGGGGGAGAGTTTACTAACAACGATCTAGTACATTTTATAGAGGAAGTTAGCATTAGATAGGATGTATCTGCACTATATATACCGGAGTAGAATAGCATTACGGAGTCGTTAAACAAGACGATTCTGCTTAAGGCAAGAGCAATAATAATTGACTCTAGCCTACTAATGTACTGCTAGTGCTTTATAGTAATGCATTCGATTTACCTAACTAATAGACTAGTAAACTTAAGAACTAAGGAAGTTCCACTTAAGGCTTTCGAATTAGACTTAAATATCGGCAGCACAGATATTGACCTATCTAAGACGAGACGATTTGGCTATAAGGCATTCAAATACCTCGAATCCGGGGTTAAACGACTTAACTCCTAGAAATTTGCACTAAGAGCTTTCGTTTACTAGTTTATTAGATTCTAAGAAAATTCATTAACAAACTATCTGCTTTAGAACCCGCACTAGAAGGATAGCGTATAGCAGCATAACATTAGATTCTCTCTATACGTTACCTTTAACGAGGACTTTGTCTATAAAGACAATTTTACTAAGCTTCTAAGTACCCTTTAAGCTTAGGGGGAGTATTTAAGACTAGCTGTCCCTTAGGAGACTATTTAGGTACTTGAAACCTAGTCTGACCTTTCATTTGAGTTAGGAATCTTAGCACTATTCCCTAGTAATGACTAAACACCTTAGCACTCTTTAGAACCTTAGGGGGAGCCATTTGGAGGTAGCATCCCTTAGCCTTAGCAGGCTTATAATCAGGAAGATTAGGAAGACTCCCTTATAGCTTAGGGGGAGCAAGGTACACTTAAGCAAGGAATACTACCTCAGCCAATACCTATAGCTAATAAGCCAACACTCTAAGATTACTAACTAGAACCACTAGTTGCCTAGTAGGAAGCTGCTCCTAAGAAAAATTAGTATACTTAAGAAACAGATACTACTGAACTAGAAGATACCCTAATCACTCCCTTCTAAGTCCCTAAGACTACTAGTAAGAGAAAGAGGGCTCCTAACCTACCTTAGCTAAACCCTCCTTAAGCCGAAGTACGACTCAGGTCTAGCAGAGCCGTAGCTAAGTATAACTATAGCAAGATTACTAAGATTGCTATAGCTGCTACTACAAAAGATGCTTAGAAGCTAGCTGACCTAATAACCCTAGCTAAAGCCCTGAAAAGGCCTAACTAGGATGAATAGAGAAAAGCCGTTACAAAAGAGATAAGGTCTCTTAAAAAATCTAGTGCAATCGAGTGGATTCTAGCCGAATCCCTACTAAAAGGCAGAACACCTCTAATAGGAAAATAGGTTTTCAAGATCAAATACCTGCTAGACGGCTCTATTAACAAATACAAGGCAAGATAGACAGCTAGAGGCTTTATATAGAAGCAGGGTCTTAACTATGTTAATACCTATGCTCCTATACTAAGAGCAGCTACTGCTAGACTTGTCTTTAGGCTTTTAGTAAACAAAAACTAGAAGCGAAGACAGGTTAATATCGAGACTGCCTTCTTGAATCCCCCTCTAGACAAAGAGATTTTCATTAGACCCCTAGAAGGCGCGCACCTGTTTAAGAAGCACCCTCTAAAGTAGATTATCCGTATTAGAAAAGGATTGTATAGCCTTAAGCAGGCTGCTAATCTCTAGTACTATAATGCTTTAGACACTCTTCGTTAACTTAGCCTAAGCAGGACAAAGAGTAACTATTGCCTATAGCAAGGTAATAGTATTCTTGTCCTCCTTTATATAGATGATTTCTAAATCTTTAGAACCTCTAAGGCAAAGATCGATGCTCTAATTAAAGGTCTTCGCAAGAAGTATACAATTAAGATTGTTACGTCTAACCTGTTTCTAGGCCTTTATCTAAAGGAAGACAAGGAGGGAAACCTTACTGTCTCCTAGATACACTATACTAAAGAGAAGCTTTAGAAGCATAGCTTGGACTAGTACAAGCCAATAAAGCATCTACTTAAGAAGCTTTACGAGCCTCTTACAACCCCCTATAACCGTTAGGACTACTAGCTATTTAACACTATAATTGGTGAAATGCAGTTTCTAGCTAACTAGACTAGACTAGACATTAGCTATACCGTCAACCACCTTGCTAGGTTCCTTTAGAATCCCGGACCTAAGCATGTTATAGCTGCTAAACATCTCTAGAGGTATATTGCTAGTATAGTTGATAAAGGACTTGTCTTTAGAAAGAAGAAAACTTTGGAATTTCAGGCATACTCTAACGTAGACTTTGCTAATAACCCTTTATTATTAAGATCAACATTAGGCGCCTTTATGCTTCTTAACAACACTCTAATTATATAGAGATTACAGCTCTAGAAGGAAGTCGTACTCTCTAGTACTAAAGCAGAGTATATTGCTCTAATAGAAGTATATAGAGAAATCTGCTAGCTCCGAAATTTGATAACTAAGCTTCAACTACTTACTAGGGAAGAAGTTAATAGGATTCATATCTGGGTAGACAACTAGTTAGCTATTTCCCTTGTTAAGGACTATACAAATTCTAAGAGGTCGAGGCACGTTTCCCTTAGGAACTACTACTATAGAGAATAGTATGCCTAGGGAAAGATCAGTGTCGAATTCGTTACTACTAACAAACAGCTAGCGGACTGTTTCACTAAGCCCAAATCTCTAAACAAAATTCTCTAATAATATAGCGTCTCTAGGACAAACTCCTAAGTCACTCCTTTAGAAAGAAAAATCTTATTTGTAGGATTAGAAAACAAGCTTTACACACTTATTGAATTTCATTCTAATTTCTAGAAACAGCCTAGCTATACTATACAGTCTAAGCTACAAAATTTCTTTTATAACAACATTAAGACTAAGTAGGAAGAAATACCCTAGCCCTTAAGAGTCAGAAACTCTCTAATGCTGTAAGGCTTTCACTAATCCAGACTGCCTAGCCTATTTCAAAATCGAAAACATACATTATAGCTCTCTATCTACTAGAAAAAACCGAATCTCCCTAATTAGCTACCTATCTTAGCATTACTATCTTCGTAATTAGAGAAACCCTCCTAAGGACTACCGGAACTACGAGTCGAGCTAGGACTAGTAGACAACCTAGAACCTAGCCTACGACTACGTCCCTAAGTAGCAGCCTAGGTATAAGCATTTGCCTACTGCAGCAGCAAATTTGCTACTGCCTACGCGCCCTAAGGAGTACTCTAATCGATACTAGACGGGACTAGCACGTATAGACGACGCTAATTAGTGCCTACTCTGCTCCCCGGATTGCGAGGCGGCAGAGGCGCTATAGGCGTCTAACGATTCGTATTAAAGCGTAGCCGAGAGACGTAACCTAATAAAAGAATTAGTGTTTTTGCTTTAAAAAATTGTATAAGACTAGATTCAACTTACTAGAGAACTCGCATTAACTATAATAGTTTAGGCTAGTACAGTTAGTGCAGGCGCCCTTTAGAAAAGCAACATCCTAGCTATTAATTCGATAACTTAGAGTTACACACTCTAAGTACGGACCCTTTAACTGCTTGCAAGGACTATACTAGCTATTACCAGTATACACGCGTCTAGCAGCAGCCGCATATATAAGCGTAGCAGGCAAGTAGTTAACATTCGACTTTAAACCTAAGTTAAATGCCTTAGCCGCCTTACGCAGGCGCGGAGGCACACTTAGAAACAGCCGAGCATTATCCTAGTTCGTAATAAAGTGCCTAACATTAACGTTGCGTAGCTAAGGCGGAGTCTGCTCCGGACCAATATTAGTTAAGCACTAGATAATTCTCTAGAGAATCGCGATAGTTAACTAAACTTCCTTAAGAACTGCGCCTAGTTAGCAAATTGTTAGAAAGGGAAAACTCTAATAGCAACACTTACTAGTCTCTATAAGCTAGAGCTTATTATAACGCGAAGGGTGCCGATTCTTGTTTAGATCGTTACTACCGCCGCCGCTACTACTACTACCTATACTACTCGCTATACTCCCTAGGCTAGGGTAAAGAATTATCGCTATAATGAAGTCTCGGCTAGCTGTTAGACTTAAAAAGTTTTAGTAAGAATTTGAATTCTAGTGGAGGCTGCTAGTACTTAGGGGATTGCTAAAGAGTAGATTATAAAAGTTTAAGTTGTCTAGTCAAGCTTAAGTGTCTCTTATAGGCACCTACTAACCCTATAATCACGACTGAGGACATTACTCTAAAGCAAACTAATCAGCAAACAATGTAACACAAGTACGTATAAGTGGTACAGTATATAAAGCTATACGTAAAGCAGATATAGTCTAACATCTGAAGGCAGTCAGAAGATGAAGTGAAGCTCTAAGCCTAGATTTAAAGTGTCCAATCTGAATAGTACATTATCTCTGCCTAAGGGGGAGTGTTGTAGTTCAGTTAGGTAATATGCTAGTTAGCTAATACTATTAGCTAACCTGTGCCAAGAGGAAGGACGCACAATAGGTATATTAACTGCAGTTTCTATAGCAGGCTCCTAATCCTTCTTCGTATAGTTATATAGTTGTTAATCCGATGATTAGTTGCATCTTCAGCACGATTCACAACAGTGTAACGCCATTTCAACCAGAGTCGAATCTTCAGATCGGATCCTGGATCAACTTTCTGATTGTCGTCAGATTCCCTCTCATATCACGCCAAGCTGTTTAATTTACTTGGTCAGCGGAAGAAGCAGGTACACTGGCCGATCTGTGGACTGGCTTGACGTTCGATTTTGTCTCGACGATACTTGTCTGGCTCGACTCTGGAATGTCCAAGGACTGTGGGTACTTGTACACTGATCCGGATGGAGTGTCCTCGTTGGACTTGCTGCTGTTCGGAGCCAAGTTCTCAAAGTGTGAGCCGATACCCTTCAGATACCTGATAATAGTCAGCGGTGGACTATTAAAGCAAGGTGCTTGTATCGTGCTCTTCCATGTCCGAACGAGAGGAAGAAGGAATTCTGGACGTGTGGTTCTTGGACTTGGAGTCTTTTTTGACAGTCATGATGGACGCTCCGATGTTCTTGGTCGATGACATGATTGTCAGAGCTGCTGCAAACACTGATCAATGACAATATGATGAAGATGCAATAATCTTGCGTTGGTCTTGTTATTGAGAGATTCATCTTTGCCGGAACGTCTTTCGAGGACTTTATAGGTCTGTTGAATGTGAGTGGTGTATGATGCAGCAGAGCACATCTTTTGAATAAGGTCAATGACCAAGGCAAAGAAGGCAAAGAAGGCAGCCAGCACGAAATGACCCCGTTTCTTTTTGACGCCACTCCTGCACATAAGCGAGGCGGCAGTCTCCCGGGAAGAATTCCAGCAAAGCTGATTCGACTCCGGCTCCTGATCCAACCAACCATTGGCGGAGAAATGGAGCACTTACTGTACGCGTTGCGTCAAAATCTATTTGTCCCCCGTCCACGTCTACAGCACATCTGTACACCGGAATGAAAGAAGACACTAGCGGCCCGTAGAATTGAGATTTCTGATTCGTTACGAACTATGGGCTCAGGATTGGGGAATTTATTAGTGCTTTCACTCTGATGTGCCAACGCGCTGTACACTTAGAAGAAGAGGATCCTTCGCGTCATCAATCTCACGCCTCCGACATTGAACGTCGTCTTCGCTGCCGGGCCTGGCATGCGTGCTACGTTCTGGACTGTATGATCTCTCTACAGACTGGCAGACCACAGATGGTTCGCATGAGAGACACCGCCATTAATATACCACATCCGCTGGACGACTTGCAATAGGATTTCGAACGAGACACGACACCTCCATCTTCAGAACCTCAATACGGCTTGCAAGCGAAGTACGCCTGTCATAAATCGTAGAACAGATCATACTGCACTTCTATGGACCACGCCGAGCTTTGAACGAGGACGTCAATCTTGCACCGATCGAGCTGTCACGTCATTTGAGATTTGACATCGGCCACGATTTCGAGCGCTCGATCACGTTCGGCAAGCAGGAACGTGGGAGATTCAAAAACAATCTAGGTGTTTCCCGGCTCGCGACCCGGATCCTACGCTGGACGTGGAGCGCAAACGGAGCACGGCCCCATTCACATCCATAACGAATGCTAACATTGAGCTTCAAATGGGAATTGCCATCGCCACGACCCCGGAAATAAATCATCACATAGAAAGCGGACCGATTGATGTGTGGTCCGAGTGGCCTTGAGAATTTTCAGGCTCACTTCTTCGAACCCGACAATTCGTTCTGCCAACGGACAACAGCAACGTAGAGGCCCCTTGGGAACGGCCACCTGGACATGATCAATGAATCAATAGCTCCAATTCCTCACCATTGCGCAAGGTCCATAACAAGCTCATAAAATAGAAGGTCAATGCCCCCATCCACAGCAACCATTTAGCTACTGTACTCACAATGAGCCCTGCACATCCACCAATATCTTCACATGCTTATCCTTCTCATTGATCAATGCGAGGTACCCATCGTCGACAAGCTTACTCATCAAAATCTTGCTGGTGATCATGCTCTCCGGCTTCAGCTTACCCTGTCCCAGCGCGTCCACGACACCCTGGAAATCCTTGGCTTGATACCCCAGCACAGCCTTATAGCTAGCTTCGCGGAAGACGAGCCAATTCGGATTGAACGGGACTTCCTTCTCCCAGATCGCGACATTGATGACGGTGCCTCGCGATCTGACAGCCTTGCAGGCTGTCTCTAATGACTTGGGTACACCTGCGCAGTCGAAAACGAGATCAGGTCCGTTGAGACCACCGCAAAGCTCCAAAGCCGTAGTGGCGACATCGACCTTGGTCGGATCAATAACATGATGTGCTCCAAAGTCCTTGGCGAACTCTTGTCTCTTCTTCGCAACTTCTGCACAGATCACGGTCTTAGTTCCTCGCGCGAGAAGGACTTGGACGACAGCCAATCCTATCGGGCCACCTCCAAATACCAAAGCAGTCGGCTCTTTCAGACTCGCGATGGGTGAAGCATCCACGGCGTGCCAAGCAACAGCCAATGGCTCCACCAAAGCTCCAATGGCGAGATCGACATTCGATGGAAGTGGGAAGACGGCTTCTTGAGGCACGACCACGAACTCGCTCATGCCGCCTCCACCTCCGCTCAACCCAACGAAGCCGCCGTTGGGACATGCGTTCTCTGCATTTACTTTGCATGCTCCGCAATGTCCGCAATAGATCGTCGGCTGTACTGCGACATTGTCTCCTGGTTTTAGACCACTGACACCTGTGCCGACTTCTTTAACGACTCCAGAGAATTCGTGGCCGATTGTGATGGGTATTTGCTCTTTCGTTACGGGATGTGGTTGTGTTGGCGAGAAGCTAGAATGCCATTAGCGATTGTCGCTCCCGAACATTGCAACAATGTGTCTGTCTCACTTCGGTCCTCCCATATATTCATGGAGATCCGTTCCGCTTGCTAGGTCAGCAATTGTCTCGGACAGAATGTTGGTCTCTAGTGATGCTTCCTTACCATATACCTACGAAAGCTGGTGCGATTTTGACTTCGCCATCGCCAGTCTCGGGTACTGGTATGTCGTCTTTGATCTGAATGTCTTCCTTTCCGTAGTAACGTGCTGCCTTCATTCTGTCTTCTGTATCTTGGGTATGTTGATGTTTGCTTTGCTCAGATTGCTAAGTCGGAAGTGAAGGATTCAGAAAGGAAAGGACCGAGTTTATAAGGAGACAACGACACGCAACTACCTACATCGGGTGTCTTATATAGGTATTGAGCTCTGGTACCGTTTGACCGAGACTGAGCTCGTGCTGGAAGACGTCAAGTCAGGAGCATTCTCTCTCTCCTTGTCACCCCGCATCCGGCTGGGCGGGGCGGGCATTGGTGGTGTATCTTCGGCTATCTGCTTTGGAGCATGAGTATCAAAGATTGCTGTGGGCTTCTGTAATATCTGCAGGTTTAAGAATTGAAGAAGTCTGGAGAGGAAAGAATTCCTCTAAAGCGAGATCCTGAAAACCACCATGGTGGTAAGCCCAGGTGCCTGGAAACAGTAAAATAATGCTAGCCAGGTACCGGGTCCGCATGGAGCTGTGGAGGGTTTATGGGTAGCTCTATGCACGATGACATTGCTTGGGTTGAGAAGTCACATGCAGATCACGCAGACAATGGGGGTTCACGCTAGATACTCTCGCAAAGCTCTCGCAAAGCTCTCGCAAGACAAACCTCCTACAGAAAGGCTTCGCAAGGCGTACATTGCTCGCAATTGTCGAGTGTCGAGGGCGCATCCGTGCTGCTAGACCAGTATCCCTTTCTTTTCCGCTTCGACCGCGCTCTCTATGTGATCAAATTGTAAGATACTGCTGTGATGATTTGGCAGATGGCCAGTGCAATCGTGTCGTCGTTGAGTTGTGATGGAGTAGCAGTGAAGTCTGGCTGCTGCTGAGCGCCGTCCGCGTACGCGTACGCGTGCCTTCCGTGTCTGTATTCTAGGCAAAGCATTGCTCTTGCCGTTCAGGCCAATGGCTGCCTGGCCTAAACCTTGAATCATCGCCATCGCCACATTCATCCCAACAAAGAACGTCGCTGGAGCCTCTCCTGCGCATTACACCACACAATCGCAGGACCAGGACCATGGCGAACACCACCATCGAGTTCGCATGGGCCTTGCAGGTCGACATTGCAACACTCGGCGGCCATCTTGAGGCATACGAAAAACTGCAGTCGACGATCGCCACATTACGACTTTGCAACCGCTTCGGTCAAGGGAACAAAGCCACCATTGCCAAGCTTCCAGTGGAATTGGTGCAAAACGTCGAGAACTTCCTGCTGGAGGCGGAACGGCTCAAGCTAAAGAAGCAATGGGTCAGAGATCTCACGTGCTGGGAGCAGCAGTGCCGTCCCACCGAACATATGAGCCGAGAAGAGATTTTGGAGTGCTACAACGAATGGCGCGGCAGCATTACGCCTGGTTCCTGGGAGGACGAGTGCGTTTGTGAATGTGGAGATGTTCACGCTCTTGACGAGTTCCCAGAGTCTGAATTAGACACCATCAACGAAATCCTCGAAGGCTATTACGACGGATCATGGCATCGGGACCAATGGTGCGACGAGCATGAGGCTAGAATCGAGAGCTGGTTCCGACGTACTGGAGAGCCAACGCAAAAGAGTCGCGGAACTTTCGACCGACTGTCGAGCATCTTGTCCAAGCACTTCGGCCTCGAGACGTGGATCACCCACGTTCACGAACATGGAGAACCAGTATTTCCTTCTCCCAATAATCTCCACTCAACGAAAGCATATCTCCGGCTTCCAGCGAAGTCATCAGTACGGTATGATCAGAGACAGGATTACACGCGTTGCCATATGGAGCCATTCCGCGTCAAGACCGAGTTTGGTCTTGCTGGTGCGCTGTCTCTTCCGCCTGAGCCGGAACCGAGGTCTCTTGCGAGATTTGCGCATGCATGCAAAGTTCTCCGTCTCTCATATGTGCCTTCTGAGCCGTCACCAAGCACCATCGCTTTCGAGAACAGCGACTCTGACAAGTTGCCGGATGTCACACTGACCGGAAAGACAAGTGTCGATGCCCGACCACAGATGACCATGTTCGTTCGTTCCAACGATGAGACGGAAGATTGGTGAGAGATGGGCACGAGACGAACGTCATCGTTCGGCGAGGCATTTAGCTGGAGCTCGCCAACAATGGGCAACGAGGTTTGGGTTGAAGAAATCGCTTATTTCTGCAGGTTTGCTGCATCGCTTTTTCGCGAGAACATTTCAAGATATGCCCAGAGACATGATAAATTAGACTCGGATAGTTGACAACACACAAGTGTAAGCTGACGAGCTCCTCGTTTTAAGTGTGCGGAATGGTGACTTGCTGCGCCCGAGCATCACGCAAGACGCTATGATGCTGCTTTCGAAGGCTCTCGAAACGCACTTCGGAAATGCTTCATAATTATGAGGCCGCATTGCCAAGGAGACACTCGTGATGTTCGTGGCCAGCCACGACATATAACTCATGCCAAGCACCCATCATGATATTGGCATAATAAGTTCGCTGCCTAGGAACGTCAATCGCCGTGTGGCGCAAGCATCGATAGACTTGACCGCATGTTCGCAAACCCAGCCTTGCCAATCTGACAGCATATCAATTAGGCCTAACCCCAGACTTGCTTCGCATTGTCGTGAAGAAGAACATCCACAGTCTTGGGCGCGTAAGGAGGGAAATTTACGAGAGGTACCAGGTCCTGCGTAGAGCATGATGCTTGTCTCGTGTTAAATTCTCTTGCAGGATTCAGGACGTGTGGTATGCGTGCGTAAGAATCCTTCCATGGATCGCTTCGGTAGGGCGGTGTAAATGCCAAGGCTAAAATAGGACGGACGTATCTAGTAAATGGCAGTCTTCCGTGGCCCAGTTCATGCCAGATTTGTAAGGCAGGAGTCGGAGTCGGCTGTTCTAATGGCTTAATGGGGATCATGATGGCTGAGCCCGGAGGGCGTAAAGCCGTTGACGAAAGCACGTCGCAGCAGCATTCCTGGGAATGTTCACAGCCCGGCGGACCCGGCGAAGAGAACGTCCGAGGATGATCTGCCCGCGAGCTCCGCATGAAGGAATATCAAGCGAAGAAATCCTTCAGTCTGCCGCAGATAGAGTTGAGCCTCCGGCAGCAGCCGTGTGTAACGGATCGTTGACCTGTTCAGTACTGTGTATGGTCTGTCGTCATGACCATATACAGCACCACTCCGCTGGAGGGCATATGCGATGCGAAGAGGTGCTGTACATTCTGGTGGAAGACGGCTCCAAGTGTGCCCGAGGAACAACAGGATGATACTCAGCATTGAGCCCACCAAGAGGTCTGATAGTGTGGAATAATGTCTCCATCCGTGGAAGCGAAAGCAGAAGTGTGAAAGGCAGATGCTCGTCGCCGATGACCTGACAATCGCGACAGTCTCGGTATATTTGGCTCCGCCAAGGCCAAGGCCTAGAGTATTCGACGACTGACGAGCAGAAGAGAAAGCAGCTAGAGCCTGCGCAAAAGCCTCAAATAGCTGACGTGTACTATGTTCTGGAGCGGACACCCCAGCATCATGTTTGAGTGGCATGACAGTCGCCACAACATATACGGCCGTGCAGGCTGACGCCACTATATCAACGCCGGGAGCCATTCGAAAGGTCTCGCGCGTTCCTCACATGGCGCCGAAAGACAAAAGTAAGACTCCTGAAGGAGTGCCCACACCTGCGAGAAGTAAAGCATACAAAGCACCAGGCCGTTTGGGAGATCCGAGTATGCAGCTATACCAAGACCCGAGAGCGAATGCTAAGCTGGTCGACATCCTCTCGAAATATGGTATCGATCGAAACCGTGCTCCACCGTCTCTAGGGACCCTCCGGCCAGATTCTACAATGGAAGATCTTTGGAAGAGCATGGCGGAACCCGAGACAGGCTTCGAGAAGTTGTACGAGACACTGCCAAACGAGCTTCCTTCAGACGCGATAGAGTTGGAGGTGGTATGCGAGATGCAGAAGATACCTGGTCCAAGTGGTCGGTCCATGAAGCTGCACATTTTCCGACCAGAGCTGCGAGGCGGACCCTTGCCTGGATTGATATATCTACATGGCGGGGCTATGACGATTCTGCGAGCAATGAGCAAGGTCCATCAGAGGTGGTGTTGCTCGCTTGCGGCACAAGGAATGGTCGTGATGATGCTGGACTTTCGCAATGCCTGGAGTCGGGAGGAATACAATCCGTTCCCTGCTGGCCTTGACGATTGCTGCACGGCGGTGCACTACATCCATTTGCACAAAGATCAGTTCAACATTCGCAATCTCGTGTTGCAAGGCGATGATGGAGGCGCCACCCTTGCACTAGCGACGGCTCTGCGTGCAAATCGAGAAGGATGGCATTGTATGTTGGACGGAGTGTATGCCTCCTCGCCAATGCTGAGTGCAGCGTATGCCTGGCCCGAGGAACGAAAGCTCAGTGAGCTACCGAGCCTGGTAGAATGCCATGGTTACTACCTCAATGTCGATTATCTTGGATTCATGGCGCAAGTCTATACGCCGAAGTCTGGTGACAAGACAAATCCTCTTGCTTGGCCATTTCATGCTACGACTGAAGACCTCGAAGGACTGCCGCCGCATGTCATTGCCGTTGACGAGCTGAGCCCGCTGAGGGATGAGGGTATAGCGTACTGTCGGAAGCTCAGTGCAGCAGGAGTGAGAGTCTGCGGTCATGTGAACATAGGTCACACTCATGCGGCGGGCCTTATATTCCGACAAGCGTTGGCGGAGGCAAACAGAACAGCAGTGAAAAACATTGCTGCCTTTACCAAGTCTGCATAGCAATTCATCCTTGAGCGGAATTTCGTAGTATCGAAACAGTCTGGCTGGTCCATGGCATCTTGAATGTCAGTCTCTGGTCGGCGCGGCGCTGCCTTAGCACCCAGCATTTAGATCTCAGCACAATAGATCTTTCTATAAGTCCGATTGCTTGGCTTTCATTCTGCAGAGTCCGCCACTGTTATCTCAGTACGAGGCCGCGCTTTGTTCAAGCCTTCGAGTAGCACACAAGCCTTGCAGACTGCTTGTGAAGACAGGTACCCGCATCTCTCGCATTGTCCGAGTTTCTGTTTGATAGGTCCTGCGCCGCGATTCTGTCCAGGAGCTCCTTTCTTCTCCTGCCTGGTTCTGATAGGTATGGTATTCTTGCTCGGGTCGACCGATTCCTCAAGCTCTTTCCCTCCTGAGGCGGGCTTGATCGGCATCTTCACCTCTATTTCGGTTCCGTTGGCAGCAGCTTGCTCATCTTGGCACAGCTTTTCCTCCATCTCTGCCATCTCACCACCGCTCGACTTGCCATTGGCAGTTCCGCAGCCGCCAGCTGTCTCATCTTCCGCACCTTTGGCTGCCGCGGCGTCCTCAGTGCCACAAGAACCTTTGCAGCTTACATTCGCGTCCGGAACCAGCTTCGCCATATCAATGCCAGATCGCACCACATCCAAAATGCTTTCTGGTCGTATCCGCTCCAAATTCTTGATCAGAGTTCTCGCCGACCCTCGAAAGGCTTCCGGACTGTATATGCACTCGGTGCTAAAGTAATCAAGCTTCTTATGGTGTGCATAAAGCACAATTTCCTTCTCGTAGGCATACATCAAAGGCTTGCTCCTCTTAACATTCGTGAAGTTGACCTCGCCGTTCTCGGTCTGCGGAGCTTTCGCGGAGGGTGTGCTTGTAATGATGCTCGTAGCTCTGCTCAATCGCGGTAAATCTCCTCTTAGCAAATTCATAAGCACAGTCTCTGCTACGTCGTCTGCATTATGGCCGGTCACGACATGACCAACATTCAACATGGCCGCGCCGCGATCCAGCGCCTGCCGTCTGAAAACGCCGCAATATGTGCAGTTGCCCTTCTTACCCACCTGCGCTACGACCTGGTCCATCGACCATCCATACAGCTCAGCATAGCTCACAATTTTCAGCGGAAGCTGATACTGCTCGGCGTGTCTCTTGACAGCCTCGAGACTGTGATCCCGGTAGCCTTGAATGCCCTCATCTACGGAAAGCAGAATCAAGTCCAGGCCCCAATTCTGTCGATCATTTAATGTTTTGAGCACTGAGGCCAGCACTGTGCTATCTTTTCCTCCAGATGCACCTATGGCCACCTTCTCGCCCGGCTGAAACAATTTTGACGATTCCACCGTCTCTGCGACCTCATCTTCAAATATCTGTATGAAGCATGGCGCGCATATTCGGGCGTGATTCTTCGGTCGGAGGATTTGAGCGCGCGCCTTTTGACAGATTTGACACGTTGATGGAGGCATCGTGTTACCGTCGAAGATCGCGGATCGGCATAGAGACGTTTGCTGGTGTGGGTGTGAAATGGTGGTAAATTGCCAGCCCTGAGGTGATTGATGACTCACCTTCGGTTTGATGGAACCAGCCAGTGACGGATCTAATGAACTTTGATTTGGCCCCATAGGGCCATTGTTGGAAGAAAGACGCAACCTATTGGGTCTGCTGCTCTCGCAAGCAATATGGATATCTCATATATACATATACAATAAGAATAGTGGAAGCCTCGACATTGCCCTCCAAACGAACCAAGTGTCTCGTACAGCCTTTTAACAGCAATGATTCTATCCCATATTTGATTGCACAAATCGTCCATATCGCTTGAACGCTCAAAGCAACGCTAATGCCGGCTCTTCTAGCCTACCAGGCCATCTTCTAGACCTCCAGTTTCTTCCAGAAAAGCGCTCACACGATCTTTGACCTCATTGAAAATTGCGCCGAGTGCCTCTTGCCATTGGTTCTCAACTTCGCCGACTTTTTCTTTGAGATCCTGGGTAAGGTGATCTTCCGCCTCCCTCTTAGCATGAGCCATTTCTTCCAAGGCGACTGCAGAATTTGGACTAGCAGCCACGCTCTCGAGCTCTAGTAGTCTCAGTCGGCTTTTCGTGGTCGCCGTGCGTACCTCGTGAAGCAAACACAGCAGGTTGACTTGGGATTCGATGAACTGGTAAGCACTCTTTTCCGCATGCCCTAGCAGGCTGTAGAGGTATTGCAGGGGGTGGTCATGATATGACGGATTCTCGTCATACTCCTGCAAGGGAACTTGGACTTCGAAACCCAGCATTTCTCCCGGGATCTGCTGGAGGACTTCCAGCAAGCCAGGAGCGATGTCCCAGAAAGCGGAGAGCTGATCCTCGACGCCACGTGACACGTTCGTCTCCATGATGCCTTGCAGATGCTCATATCGCTTCAATGATTCCTTCGCGTACGTCATTTGGCGTTCGATGCTGTCTTTCTTGAAAAATTTTGTCGCCTCGTCGATCTTCCCTTGCGCTTTCGAGATTCGATACGGTGTCAAGATCACTTCTGAATACTTCTCGGTCCTCATGGCGTGCAAGTCAAACATCTCCTTGTGCAGTTGCTCACGTGCTTCAAAGAGCCACTTCAGCAAAGTCAACTTCTCCAATCGCTCTGGGTGCTCGTCACCCTCCACTTGAGCTCGGTTTGGATCGTTCGAATCATGGCCGCTCTCAAGATCGAGTCTTAACTGGGTGATGCTTGAACCGGCTTTCTCCAGACGCTCAGTCAACAGCGCATTGAGTGGATGTGATACTGCAGCCTCAAAAACGTCGAAGTTAGATCGAGCAGTCGCCTTACCACGCTCGGCTTCGTCAATATCGAAGTCTGCTTCAGCCTTGGCCGCATCGGCGAAAGATATGGTACCTTCAGCGATTTGGTTTTGAATGTTCATTCGCAGTTTCGTTCGTCGCTTTTTGGCGCTTTCCTGTTGTTCGCGAGCAAGAGTAAAGTCTTGGTCGAGATATGAGTCTTTGATCTTCTGGATCTCCGAGTGGTCAGCCAACAGCCGATGCTGAGTCCGCAGCTCTGCAAGTACAGGATGGCTATTGTTGACCGCCGGATGGTGTCGAGGGTAGGGTGGCGGCAATGTCACCAGGCGTGACACATTCAAGGGCGCCACGCCTGGCGTAGAAGCTTTACGCTCGACTGCGCGATGTGGTGTTTGCATTGGCGTATCCAAGTCAATGCTCTCATGCCACCCAACCTTCTCGGGCGGATATTGACCTGGCCCATAGCCACTGTAATCTGGCAATCCGGTGTTATCACCGCTGGGCCCGGGTATGGGCGTCTGCTGCTCAGTCGTAGGCGAGACGAGTCCCTGTAGATCTGCAGGATTGATGCCCATGTACTTGGTCTCGCGCCTTGTCTTCTCCATTCTGTCTGGACGTCCAATGGAGCCTCCACCGGAGTTGCTCTGCTCGAACCACCTACTTGGCTGTCGACCACGAGAGCTACCTTCGTCGGGCACTGTGCTGACTGCCATTGACGGGATCGGCGAAAGACTAGGTTTGAAAGATTCAGCCCATTGACGCGTGTCACTACGCTCGAAGCTGTCGCCAAAGTCCATGCTGCTGGCATCGGTTGCTGGAGTAAAGTCGCCAAAAGATGACGCCGAGCTAGGCGCGTTGCCAAGGGCTGAGGTCGGCTGGCTTTCTGATGTCCACGCAGGCACTGATGGGTCAATCGAAGGCATGGAGGTGCTGGGAGTTGCGGCACGTCGGCCTTCTTTGCCGAACGAACGCCACATGTCTCGCGTCAAATCGAGGATATCGCCAGCCATAGCATTGTACGCGGTCGAGTAGCGATCACGTCTCAATCGAGACTCATGCACCATGAAATTGGCAAAGAGTTCCAAACGTTCTTCATCGGTCGAAGCAGCAATTTCTTGCTCAACAAAAGCACGATGTCGCTTGATAGCATCGAGAGCAAACGCATTGAGCTTTGGTTGTGCCGAGCCGCTTGGAGCTACTCTTACTGGAGTGAGTGGAGCTGGCATGGTCGTATCTTCATTGGGCGTGTGTAGGATGTGAGAAATTGGCCTATCACTTGAGGCACTACCTGGAACCTTCATGGCCGGCTTCGGTGCTGTCGCGCCTGTTTGCTTCCCGATAGCTGGCGTGTATGGAGGCGTGAGAATGTTTGAAGCGTTGTTCGGCGCCACTTGACTTTGTTGTGCTGGGAGGCTCGATGCTGAGGAGGGCGAGTTGATACCTGATGCAGTCCTCATGTGTTCACGTCTACGGCTAATCGATCCTTCAAGAGGATCGAAAATAAGGTTAGCAGGCTTCGAGTCGTCCTCGTCCAAAGTCCCCTTCGCTGCGCGACTCCTAGATCTTCTCTCTCTGATGCCTTGAGAACTCGTATCTCTTTTCGCGGGGCGACGAGCGAGAGAGTTCTCGCGAGAAGCGGTTTGTGGCGAACTACCAGTGTCAATGCGCAGAGGCTGATAATCTGCAGCTGATTGGGGAAACTGCTGCTGCGGTAAAGGGGGCTCGGGCTCTCCACTCGAAGCATCATGTTCCACCCAGCCAGCTGGAGTCGGCGGCACTGGACCAAGACTTGGAGCTGCGACAGTTCTTCTCGATCTTGGAGGACCGAGTGGCCGATCTGAGGCTTCGATGCTCGAACTTGAGCCACCAAGTGGTCGGTTCAGACTTTGTGACCGCACTCCGGGCAGAGGAGGGTTTGGTGGGGGCCCGGGTAGAGGCATACCAGGTTGCCAGTGGTTATCCGGCGAAGCACGTCCAATTGGCGCTATAGTCGCTGACGATGGCCCCGCGGACTGCATATGTCCCGCTGATGCTGCTCGCCTGGCGGCAGGTGGCCTGTTATCCACAAATGAGGGCACATGGACTGAATGACCAGGTTGCGGAAGCTGGACCTCTGCGTTTGCAGGCTGCTTGCCCCTCAGGCCTGATAGGCTGAATAATGACCTGTTTCCAAGTCCTGAAGCTGATCGCTCACGATAGCGTGACGACTGAGCTGGTGGGGGCGGAAAGGCTGGTGACATGGTGATCTGAGGAGAGTTTCTGGCCGAGCTCTCTGCCATTGGCGAGGCAGTAAAGGCTCCATTATCCACGATTGGAGAAGCCATGTGCACGGCTCGCGGACCAGTACCAGGCGTTCCTGGCGATGCAGAATAGGGAGGAGGGGGACTTGGCATAGCATCTTTGGAAGGTCTGATGTCAGCTATGCACTTTGAGGATTCCTCTCACGCTCTCATTCAGCACACAACTCCGAAGACACTGCAAGCATTCATTACACGCATGGAGCCCACCCATGTTTCTCTAGATAGAATGGCATTGAACACGGATTACGAACCTTCCATTCCAGTGATGTGACTCGTGCTTGGTGGCATGGTGGCTTGGCGTTGTTGAAAGACCATCTGTGAGCCGGAGACCTGAGCTCGATTGCTCCATTGTCGGGGATTGTAAGGCTCCATTGCTGGAGCTCCCGGGGAAGGAGCAGCAAACGCGCCTGGATGTTGAGGATGAGGATGAGGATTGGGATGAGGATTCAGGCCACTCGGGGGTCTGGGATTATGGAGGAAGTGCGGTGACAAGTGCGAATGTGTTCCCGACACAGGAGTCGAAGTCTGAGAGGCCAAAGCGCCTTGCTCGGCCAGAACGGAAGTCGACAGGTGAACAGAGACCGGCCTCCTCTGCGCATGCGGGCTGGGCGGAGGAGGTCGTGTGTACTCATATTGTTGGCTCATCGCTAATAAGCCTCGCGAATGGGCGCGGCGCGTTCCAGCAGAGAAGCAGGAGAGCGAAGCACGGATGCGCCTCTGCGCTTGTCCTAGCCCAGATTAACACCACATGAGATGCTGCATAAGCCCCACCACGTGAAGAGCGATTGCATGTCGGCGCTTAGCTGCCACCAGAGCTGTGATTGGCGCGACGCGGCAGGCGCTACTCTTTAGACTAAAAGCTTGGTGAAGACGGCACGTGACTGCGCATTGCACGGCGTTTACGACGACTATATAGATCTAAGTCAGATCCATTGTTGTGGTACAAGATCAGATGTGGAAGCACTTGTCCCCCTCACGCCGTTTCATGTCAAATCTGCGCCACCGTCGCAGCGCATCCAGACGCCAGCACGCTCTGTGCTATTGTTACCCGGTCCGCGAGCCGCTCAGTCGCATCTACCAACATCGGACACGAATTGGGAGATCGCACTCCGTTCGTGATGTCTTGTGCCGAGAGAACGAAAGGCACCGATACAAGCTCTGACGAGAACGTATAGTGCCGTCCGTAGATTGCGGTGACGCCTGATATTGTGATTGGATTCTGCCACTTGATAGCGTGGTGTCTTAGGGGCGGCACTATGGATGATCCTGGACGAGCGATTCCGCGCTCCGTCTCCAACACTACTCAACACCTCTTCAAATTAGCCAGAGCCAGTGTGAAGCGCCCTTTCTAGTTGAGATCGACGAGGGGTCTCACCTTTGAAATCAGTGCCCGTACCGTCGACACCGGCGACGATACAGGCGTGTAGAGGTTGTAAAACCCCTCACTTGCCTTCAGCACGATCAACCAGCTTCTCATCCAACCCGATCGGTTCATAGACGCTTCGATCCGCCTTCTTCTGAGCCCACACGATGTCGCCTTTGAGATAAACAATTACGCCGCCCTTGCCCGTAGCACTAGCTGTGATCCTAAATAGAGGAGCTCCGCTTTGCGGATGTGCTTCACGCAGCGGTACCATGGTGAGGTCTTCCTCGGCGCACCAAGCCTCGACCACATCTCTAAAGTCCTGCGTTAATTGTTCGCCAGCAATGGGGCGACTCGCGGCATTTTCCTGCGCTGCAAGCTTCTTGCCAACCTCCTTCGCAATAGGGCGTGAAGGGCCAGCAGCTGGAGCAGCCAACTCGGCCATTGATCTGCCCTCGTCTTGAAGCTCCGTAGCTTTGATGGCCATCTCTTTGCCTCTATCCCATTCTTTCACGATGTCCGGATGTGAGCTATACTTCTCTGGAATTTGCTGCTGCCACCAGGTCAACCACTGCAGAATCTCGTCGAAGTTTGGATCATCAGATGTTAGCCAGAGGTGTAAGATCGAGTGCCACTTTGGAAAGAATTCGGCGACAAGCAGCCGCACATACACGTCGGTCTTGAAAAATTCTTCCCATTTGAAGACATTCTCCAGTGCTGTGAGGTCCTGATCGGCTGGGTCGACTTCGAATTCCATGGACAAGTACCGTGCGAGTTTGGGCAACAGGTGTCTGACGAGAACATGATCAAGCTCTGAGCGAAGAAGGTCACGCCATTCCAATAAGCCAGGCAGTACGCCTGACGAGACGTTCCATCCGTCCAGGACTTGCCTCAGGCGTCGCTTCAGCTCGACCAGGAATCCTGAGGAGGCCTTGGGGTCGAGGTGGTACTGCGGCAGGTATGGTAGCCAAGGGAATAGCCAGGTGTGGGGTCGGGCGTGTTTCACGGTAGCAGTCTTGTGGTGATGCTTTCGCTTGCGGGGATCCCACATTGTAAGTGCTGTGCTTAGCTTGGGAACTATCAGCACATCCATAAGGTTGCTGTATATGAATGGTGGTAGCAGTGGTCGCCATGCCTGAACCAGTGATGTTAAAGGCGTATGATTAAGGACGTCCCAATTCGTGATAGTTGTTCGAAGCTTGGGTAGCCAGATGGTATAAATTAAAGTCTCGTATGCAGTGGTCGCTTTCTGGCGGTTCGATCTGGCATAGCTTTCGTCCAAATCGCCGAGGTTACGGGCAGTGACAATTTCCTCTCGAGGTTGGAGTCCTAGCAAAGCTTTTATGCAAGCCAGATCAGATGCCAGGAATGTTGGATCCTCTAAAGGTGACCAGCTAGCCAGTTGTTTCTTGAACAGCGGGAAGAGCGCGCCGACAGCTGCTTCTTGGAGATCATACTTCTCGATTTCATGTTTGTGTTCGTTCTGAAGATCCTCAAGCTTGGCAATGAGTGCTGTCCATTCTGCTTCAACATCATCGCTGCCAGATCCTGCAGCTGTCGTTAGGCGGAGACCTTCAATGGCTTCCAGGACACCTTGTAATCTCTCGAGATCTTCTTTTTGGGCCTCCGCTTCCAGGTGTTGTTGTCCCGCGTGCTCCTCGATGTAAGCTTTCTGCTCTTGCACTCCATGCCATGCCTCGATGAAAGCCTCAAGCTCTAGCCTTTCTCTCTTTGCGATCTTTTCCGCCTCTGACTCTGCTGGTACTCCAGAAGCAGTCATCAACCCCGCTGCACTTGTTAGCAATTTTGTCTGTGCACCGGTCGCATCAACAATGGAGCTGAGCATCTGTGGCGGAACATGTAGTCCTGGCGCCGCAGCTCGCACGTCTGCGGCTGTCTTATATTTGGTCTTGGGTTTTCGCGGTCCGCTTGGCGTACTCGCGCCGCTATCACCACTGATCCCGCCGGCAGACTTCTTCTTGCGCTCTCTGCGCGCCTTTCGTTCCTCCTCGCTGCTGTCTTCATACTGCTCGCCGCGCTTCTCGGCCGCTCTGCGCTTTTCCTCCTTGTATTGCTCCGTGAGCTCTTTAACAGCTCCAACACCTGCACCCTGCGGACGCAACTTGACTTCAATGGGGTTGACGACGCCTTCGCCCTCCATACCCAGACCTTCGCCCTCTTTCCAACCCATTTTGGCCATCATTTTGGCTGCGAAAGAGCCTTTCGCGCCTAGCTTGGGCGCCTTATGTGGCGCATTGCCGGCACCCGTGAACTTGCGCTTCTCAGCCATGATGCGCTGTGGCCGAGCCTCTTGTTGGTGTTGAAGGCGAAATTCAGATGGCGAAGAGGTGGAAGGCAGAATGTCGTTGGAACATGACTCGCGGGATAATAAGGTTCAGCTCGCGCGAGCGCCAAGCTCTTCACGGGATCCAGAAACTGGTCACTTCACTGCTACCGCTGAGGGGTGGCAGACTGAGATGTCAAGCATTATGAGTCAATCAACATTCAGGCTGGATTTATGCCAGAGGTGCATTTGAGAGGAACCTACATCATGACATGCCATGCTTACGTACTGAACTGAGCACCTTCCTACCATGTGGCATGCGGCTGCAAGACGAACGGGAAGAGCGGGGGTCGGGGTCGGGGTCGGGGTCGAGGATATTAGGAGTCCGGGCATGCCATGGGTGCTTTCGTGCTTTCGCGGGAATCCATCTCACATCAATTCTCGATTTCTGTGATGCGCAATGCCATCTAGCACTCCAGCATCCCCAATAAGATAACTGTTGCATTGCACGCGCACGTGGTGGAGGGAACGGGACGGGACGGGTGTGCCGATCTGCCGCTTCAAAGCAGTCTCACTGCTTGCTTTGCGTCTTTTGCCTCTCACTCTCACTCTTCCATCACCGCACCGCACCGCACCGCACCGCCCTCCTGCGCATGCGCCTGCATCACCAGCACCGAATACCGAACACCCACGCCACCGACCTGCTGCTGAGCAAAGCGATGAGCATCTGCAGCCATGCTGCTTTCACAACTCCGACTGTGCAGCAAACGTCTGGCTGCAGGTAGCTCGAATGCTGCCAGATCCTTTTCCTCCGTCGCTCCAAACACCCCTCGAACAGCTTTGGTCGCGAACAGAAGGGAGCTTGGCATCGCCTCATACAATGCCTTCACCTCGCAGCATCGCAAATATGCTGCGCAAGCCGAGCAGACCGATCGCGGCGTAGACCCTTCGGACTCTTTTCTTTCAGGAAACACTGCCAACTATGTCGATGAGATGTACTCAGAATGGAAACGCGATCCTTCATCCGTACATGTTTCATGGCAGGTCTACTTCAGAAACATGGAGAGTGGCGACATGCCCGTGAGCCGTGCTTTCACACCTCCACCAACTATTATGCCACAACCTGCCGGAGGCGTTCCAGCGCCCACTTTCTCCACCTCTTCTGGAGCCGCCGAGGCTCAGGGCAGTGACGTTATGAACCACTTGAAAGTGCAGCTTCTTGTTCGCGCGTACCAGGCGCGTGGTCACCACAAGGCGAACATCGACCCGTTGGGCATTAGAGACAACTCGAAGAATATTCCAAGAGAATTGGACTTGAAGACATACAACTTCACAGATGCTGATATGGAGACCGAGTTCACACTGGGTCCTGGTATTTTGCCAAGATTCAAGACCGATAAGAGGCACAAGATGACTTTGCGCGAGATTATTGATACCTGTGAACGCCTCTACTGTGGCCCTTACGGTATTGAATACATTCACATCCCGGATCGAGAACAATGCGATTGGCTTCGACAGAGGATTGAGGTTCCCCAGCCCTACAAGTACTCCGTCGACGAGAAGCGACGCATTCTGGACAGGCTGATTTGGTCCTCTTCTTTTGAAAGTTTCCTAGCCACCAAGTACCCCAACGACAAGCGTTTCGGTTTAGAAGGCGGTGAATCGCTCATTCCCGGTATGAAGGCCCTTATCGATCGCTCTGTCGACTACGGTGTCAAAGACATTGTCATCGGAATGCCTCACAGAGGTCGTCTCAACGTGCTGTCCAACGTCGTCCGCAAACCGAACGAGTCTATCTTCTCCGAATTTGGAGGTTCTGCAGATGCTGCTGATGAGGGATCTGGAGATGTCAAGTACCATCTGGGCATGAACTTTGAACGTCCCACGCCTTCTGGCAAGCGTGTGCAGCTCTCGCTTGTTGCCAACCCATCGCATTTGGAAGCCGAGGATCCAGTCGTGCTCGGCAAGACCCGCGCCATCCTCCACTACAACAACGATGAGACTCATGCAACGTCCGCAATGGGAGTGCTGCTCCACGGTGACGCTGCTTTCGCTGCTCAGGGTATCGTATACGAGACTATGGGCTTCTATGCACTTCCGGCATACCACACGGGCGGCACGATCCACCTGATCGTCAACAACCAGATCGGTTTTACCACTGACCCACGTTTTGCTCGTTCGACGCCATACTGTTCTGATATTGCCAAGTTCGTAGATGCACCTGTCTTCCACGTAAACGGTGACGACGTTGAAGCCCTCAACTTCGTCTGCCAGCTTGCTGCCGACTGGCGTGCTGAGTTCAAGAAGGATGTGGTAGTCGACATTGTATGCTACCGAAAGCAAGGCCACAACGAGACGGATCAGCCATCCTTTACTCAACCACTGATGTACAAGCGCATCAGCGAGCAACCGCCTGTCCTCGACAAGTACGTCAAACAGCTCCTTGACAACAAGACTTTCACTCAGGAGGACATCGATGAGCACAAGAGCTGGGTGTGGGGCATGCTCGAGGAGTCTTTTGCACGATCAAAGGACTACCAGCCAACTGCCAAGGAATGGCTCACCAGCGCATGGCACGGCTTCAAGTCGCCCAAGGAGCTCGCTACTGAGGTCTTGCCCCATCTCCCAACCGGACTTCCAGCCGACCAGCTGAAGCACATTGCCAAAGTCATTGGCGAGCCACCAGATGGTTTCCATGTCCACAAGAACCTGAAGCGTATTCTGGCCAACAGATCAAAGACTGTCAATGAGGGCAAGAACATCGATATGTCCACTGCTGAGGCTCTCGCTTTCGGCTCTCTGTGCATGGAAGGCCACCACGTACGTGTTTCAGGTCAAGATGTAGAGCGCGGTACATTCTCGCAGCGCCATGCTGTCCTCCACGACCAAGAGAACGAAGACACATATACGCCTCTGAAGCACGTAAGCAAGGATCAGGGATCCTTCGTCATTTCCAACTCCAGCTTGAGCGAGTTTGGTGCACTTGGATTTGAGTACGGATACTCGCTCTCTTCGCCGAACGCTCTCGTCATCTGGGAGGCACAATTCGGCGACTTTGCCAACAATGCCCAATGTATCATCGACCAGTTCATTGCTTCTGGAGAAGTCAAGTGGCTTCAGAGATCTGGTCTGGTAGTGAACCTCCCACACGGTTATGACGGTCAAGGCCCAGAGCACAGTTCTGGTCGTATGGAACGTTTCCTCCAGCTCTGTAATGAAGATCCTCGCATCTTCCCATCGCCAGAGAAGCTTGAACGTCAACATCAGGACTGCAACATGCAGATCACAGTCTGCACAACTCCTGCCAACAACTTCCACATCCTCCGTCGACAAATGAACAGGCAGTTCCGCAAGCCGCTCATCTCATTCTTCAGCAAGAGCTTGTTGCGTCACCCACTCGCACGATCAAACATCGAGGAATTCACCGGCGAGAGCCACTTCCAGTGGATCGTGCCAGACCCAGCGCACGATGAGAATGCTGAATTCAAGATCGACTCACATGACAAGATCGAGCGCGTCATCCTCTGCTCCGGACAAGTCTTTGCTGCACTTTTCAAGTACCGACAGCAAAACAACTTGACTAACACCGCCATTACCCGTATTGAACAACTTAACCCATTCCCATGGGCGCAGCTCAAGGAAAACCTTGACAGCTATCCCAACGCCCAGACCATCGTTTGGTGTCAGGAAGAGCCACTCAACGCCGGTGCATGGTCTTTTACCCAACCAAGAATAGAGACCCTTCTCAACCACACAGAACACCATGACCGAAAGCACGTCATGTACGCTGGCCGTAACCCAAGCGCATCAGTCGCTACCGGTCTCAAGAGCAGTCATCTGAAGGAAGAGCAGGACCTGCTCGAGATGGCTTGGAGCGTGAAGCAGGACAAGCTCAAGGGAGAATAGACGCATGGAGAAGTGTTATGCATTGCGGGTGGTGCAACATAAAGATTTTTTTTTCTGCTGCGGTTGTGATTATGTGTCCTTGAGCCGGGAAAGCTGCACGATTATACATATTGACACGGATCTCATGATCCCCTCTGAAGCATTTCCCTATGCTCGTTGCAACGTATCGTGTGAGGTAGATACCCGGTTGGCGAGAACCCCGATGTCCCTTGCCTTCTCGTTCACCGCTTCCACAGGCGGTGTCACTTGACGTTGGCGATACAACTTGCATAATCATCAAGCCTCTCCCGTGCCGTCTATTCTCCTCATCGAATCAAGAATTTCATGAATATACCTATCCAGTTCTTGGCAATACATTAATCCGAGCGCTACATTTTGAAGAAAAGAGTATGATCCCGAGTCATTTCGTGGCGGACCGACGACGGGTCAGGAAGAAAGCGGCGAAGCGTCTCTCCTGACCACGTCAACCCTGCTTTCACACACTGCGTACGTGTCTTGTCTTGCAATCAGAATAAATGGTGGCAGCACGTATGCAGCAGGCTGGCTTCCATCAGGCCTCAACCATGGTAATCTCGAACCGTTGCAAAATCTTGCGGACAAGCTCGGATTGTACGGTTCTCATCGTCTTTTTCTTTTCCCCTGCGTGGCGTTTTCCAGCGACAATAATGCAGGAGACGTGACGGTATCACTCACACTTCACTCGCCGAACATTCGATTTTTTTTTGTAGTAAGTCGGTCGCTACGAGTTTCGTGATCCTGGCGGGTCGAAGTAGATCCTCGTGCTTGAATCGTGCTCGAATTCTGCGCTTCTTGCAATGGAATATATATAAGAGTCAGGGGCCCGATGTTTTTTTTTCAGTCTGGGCTACGTTAGGAATGTAGTTACATTGCACATGAACCCCCCCCCCCCCCCCCCTTTTTTTTTTCTCGTCAAAGATTTTTGTGTTACTGTATATCATGGCTAGCGACAAAGATCGTGCTGGTCCAGTCGAGTGGCGGCTCGAACCCATTTTCTCGGAGGAGGAAGAGTTCGTTCTCGAAGTGCAGTTTGAGCGGAGGTGCAGTCACTGACCATCATAAGGTTGTTGAGAGGTGTCGGCTGCGTTTTCGAGACGCCTGAGAAGGATAATGAGGCAAAGAAGTGCTCCCAACCCATGGGAGAGTCTCGAACAAGTCTGTCCGAACTCAGCAAGGACTCGTCAATCAACTTGAAAGCTGTGCAGCGGCCTCAGGGACTGGAGAGCGCTCCAGCGAACAAGGCTGACAAGGTACTCAATTTCAACTGTGGTTGAAGCGGTCTTTCGTGGCACTGACTGGTTGTCAGTAGGTAGATGTTGCCGTTGGGGGGTCGGAAGCACGACCATCTCGCCTGCTGATGGTTGATTGTGTGTCGCAGACTCTACCGACCTCCAATGAGCCAGTCTTTGATATGCGAAAATCCATCTTTGCGGTCGTAGTATTCAGAGCTCACGGAAACGTCATAAACTCCGTGCTCTGTGACCGTAGCACGTCGAGGGGCATCGACTTTTGAGAATGAATTTAACTTTTTGAGTCATCAATAAGAAGTGACTGCTACCTGTTTGTAATGATTTAAGGCGACAGTCACAACCGTATTCTTGCGACACGCCATTCGCCCAGCCGTGCTCGGTAGCTATTGCATAGACCATTCTGGTGCGTTTTCATCAACAACGTGGAACGCGTTGAAGTCTCGCCTAGCTTTTCTTGGTCGGATGGGTGTGGTGTCAGGAGGAGGCTTTGCGACTGCATTGGCGTAGGTGTAGCGATTTGTTCTGGGTTTTTTGACCTTGTGGAACCCATCTTCACTGCTACCACTCGATGTGGACGACCGCGTGCCGGAGGTTCCTGAACGTGGAGAAAGCGCCACAGCCTCAGATATTTGCTCCATGTCCACGTCGACAGGCGCCACCGCTGCAGGGTGTGCAGATTCAGAAGTCGCTGCGTTACGTTCCATGGAGGTGGAGAAGAGCTTCTTCTGAACATCGTAGTGCAGGTGCTCAGTGTGGAAGGCGAGATAGAGTCCAAGCCACAAGACCCTCTCAGCTCGTGATTCTGCCATGGAATTTGTTTCAATCGCTCGGCCATCGTCTTCGCATTGGCCATCGAACCAGCCGGGGCAGAAGTAGAATTGACCCCAGATCAGGCCACGTATAGTATAGTCCTCCGAAAGAGGTTGCGCCTTTTCTTTGCGTTCCGCGCCGAGGAAGTTACCTTGTCGAGCACGTTCTAGTACGTATGTGCTAACTGGATCAATTGAAGCCAGCGTATTCAAAAACTCCGCAACCACGCCCCAAGGTAGCCGCCCGACATCCACGGGAAGGTCAAACGTATGATGGTTGCCGCTATTAAGTCGGGTTCGCAAAGCATGAAGGGAATGGATCCAAACGAGTGTGATGTGTACAAAACCGAGACTATCTCTCACCATGTCTGGGCTGTTGTACTGTCGTATAACAAAGTCAAAACAATCGATGAAGAAGCCTGTAGTTGATGTGGCTAGCGGTCCTGAGCCCATATCCGGAAGCAGCTTTGACAGGATATCGTCGGTGTGCATGGTGGACGTGACGGATGGTCTCGAGCTCTGCATCGCCTGGTTGATAGCAGCAGTGTACAACTGCCAAAGCATATTGGTTGGTTTACCTAGATCGAAGAGTGCCGCGACATTCGCGACGGCCAGATACGCTCCAAAGTCGCGAAGCTTGTTAGGCTGCTGACCGAGTAAATGCAAAGCGTCCTGGCCTACATCCTCGACCAAGGTCTTTGCACGAGCCGTGTAGACCAAGGCATGGAATGTGACGATGCGAGCTTCAGCTGACTGTCTACTACTCTGAATGGTCTGATCATCCTGTACGATGGGCCCGCACAGAGTTGAGAGGGAATCTCGAGCATTTGGAAAGGGTATGACGCAGGTCAACGACTTCGCATATAAGCAGAACTTGCGAAGACTGGGCCGCTCCAAGATTCCTAGATGATGATAGAGGCGTCCAATGGCAGGGTGACGGTCAGATGCCATGGTGTACCAGCGAGCTGCAACACCACCCCAAGTGGCATGGGCCTCTTTCTCCTCTTCTATTGCCATTCGGTATCGGGCGAGGTCTCCGAGGCATTCAATCCAGGTGTCGGTGAAGCCTGGCACAGTTTCGAACAGCAAAGCCATCATCTGGTAGGCGAGATAAATGAAAGCCAACATGTAGTCTTGAGAGTCAGGCCGGCGGTGTCGCAAGACTTCCAGAAATGCGTGTATACCGTGCTTCCACATCCGGGCCGGCATACTATACTTTGTGGCGAGGCCCCGGAGAGCGGCAGTCGCTGAGGGATGCTGCGTCGCCTAGAACGAACGTGGGTCAGTCCAGCGTGCAGCAAATGTCGGAGGGTGTCACGTGACATACCATGAGGAAGTCATGGTGCTCGTACAGTAATGTTCTGTGCAAGGCAATCAGTGCTTGCCACTGCTCTGGGCCGAGCGGAGACGTTGGATCAGCGACGTGAGCAGCATTGATGTTGATACATTTCGCTTCGACCATGACCAAACCAGCATAGATTCCTTTGACCTCTGCCGCAAGCTGTTCTTGTGAGATGGGAGACGAATCAGGCTGCAAGATGAGAGCCTGGGATTTGCTCCGCGGGTTCATATCCGACCGAAGACAAGAATGGCGGGCGTCTGATGTTGGGACATGTCTCCGGATGGATGGATCGGCCGGCTGTATGTGCTGGAGCGTGCTTGCCAGTGGCCGGGATGGACATGTTGATCCGTATCCGCTGTCACGAGGGACGGGAGCTCGCTCAGCATACTTCGTGGAGATGCGATTTCGGACGTGCGGACTCGATGGTGGCGACGTCTTTGGAGCAAGTACGGAAGCAGCTGTCGTTGTGTGTGGCCCGGAGCTTTCCGATGAAGAAGTCTTTTCGCCGGGGCTGCTGCCGGCTGTCGGTATCAGAGGAAGTGTGGCAAGAGGCGAGGCATGGCGTGGAGTGATGCTCATGTTACGAAGTCGGAACTGATCAATGGCAAGACCCTTCGTGCTGCTGAACGGAACGCATTCGGCTGCTCCTCACGTGCCTGGACACACTGGAGATCAACACTGGCCTGGCGTGCTTGCGCCCGAAGAAACCTGTATCTGTGGCCTTCAATAACGACACCATGACCGCATCTGTGATGAGACCGACCAGCAGATTCTCGAGTCGACCTCGATTTTCGGATTTTCGACGTCAGCACATCCGATTGCCCCGCGTCTGCCGGTGCCGAAAGAAGACTTCCAGGACAGAATTAAGCAGATGGTGATTCTTTCGCTCACTGGCGATAAGTATTGCTGGAAAAGGCGGGCGCGGGCAGAACGAGAAGGCCAAGAAGGCGAAGAAGGCAAAGAAGGCAAAGAAGGAGTCAGCCAGCACGAAATGACCGTGTTCCTTTTCGACGCTACTGCATATAGAGGGTTGCCTTGCGCGTAGACAAGCGGGGAGGCCGGGGACACGAGAAACAGAATTTGGCTGACGACGGCAAGGCAGCGTGGTTCGCAACGTTGCATACTTGTCTCAGAGGCCGCCCGGCTTGACTGATGATCCACCAGTGTTTGATGAACATCGCTATCCTCGGCTCTTGTACACGTGTACGTGTGGTGGATGGTGCGGAACAGGTTGCAAATGTCACACCAGACTATAGTTGTGATCATCCCTTCAAACCGAGAAGACATGGTATGCCTGAGGCCAGTATGTGTTGCCTGTGCCTTGCTTACCAAGGCAGCCATCTAACTTGAGAGCTGGAGTCGTGGCCTCATCACGTGCGCACCCGGCGCAAGATGAGTCAGCACATTTGACTTCGTTTCGTGAAACGCGTAGATGGCATTGCGTGTAGTTAATTCGTCGTATATGTTAGGAGTTTTAGTAAAACCTAAATAGAGTTATAAGCACAGCGTTTTACTAGTAATTACTAGGCAATAAGCTACCCGCAATCCTCTAGTTTAGTAGTGTTTAGAACCGCTCGGCGTAGTAACAAATTAGGTTAAGAAGGGCGCCTCTCTCGAGCCTATTAGTAAAGCGGCTATTTAACTATTTAACTATTATAGAAGCAGCAATTTTGCAGTAGAAGAGACTATTATAAATACTAAGAGTTATTACTATATAATTACCGCCTTCTACGACTATATTAGAAAGCCTAGCCTCGCTAATTACTATCTCTTCTGCCTCGTTATTGCTTAATACGAGGTCTTGTAATACGTGTTATATTACCGCTACTATTACCGTTAGTTAAGTAATAGTCTGTATATGTTCTTACGCCTCTTATCTCGTAGTTAACTCGCTCGTTAGTTAGTAAGTTATTAGTAATATCGTCGTCCGAGTCGTCCGTTATCTACTTTTATAATCGCCTAGCGGCTTGCTCGCTATTATCGTCGTTAAGATACTTTATTACTAACTTAATTATATTATAGCTTACGCCGTACTAGGTAAGAAGCTCTTCGAAGCCCTAGAGGCTACTATCTTTAAAGCAACGGTCGTCTATAGTAATACTATTAACCTCGCAAATGCTATATATAAGGTCCTACGATAGCTTACCCTAATTCTAATTAGTACTAAGGTAACGGAGGCCTAGTAGCGTAGGTAGACCTTGCGGTAGTAGCGGCGGCGGCGGCGGCGGCGGTATATTATCTCCTATTAAATCTACCTCTTTAACGCTATCTAAATTAAGCGCTTATAAGGACTATATTTATAGTATTGTCTCGCGGCGAGTTAGTATATTAAAGAAGACGCTTTATAGTAGTAGAAGGCGCGCCTTCGGAGTAAGGTTACTTATAGCAGGTAATAAGAATATAGGCTATCGAATAGGTAATAATTAAACGCGCCGTTTAGATAGTAACGGCCGCAGTATTATATTATAGTAAACGTAATAGGTTTCCGGCGTTATTAGTAGCAATTAAGTGCGAGTTAGAGTAATAGGTTTAGTAGGCAATTTAGTTATCTACTATCGCTTAGTCTCGCCTATAAATTAGACCTCCTATAGGTTAGCGATAAACTAGTTAATATTAAGGGCGTAGCAACTGTCTAAGAAGTCTTTAACCTTCCGTACGTAGAAGGTATAGAATAAGTCCTTTATATTACTATAAATAGTAGGGTCGTCTGCTATACGCTAGTACTTTAAATTTAGTGTTTCTACGGCCTCTTTAAAGTAGCCTCGCAGGTCTCGTAACTTAGGTGCGCTTGCTAGCGCAATACTGTCTTCTTCGTAACTCTCGATTACGAGTTATTAAGTGTCTAGTCGTTACTAGTATTCGTTAGCGGATATAACGTTAAGGCCTATAAATAGCTAGAGATATCGCCTCTACTAGAAGTTAGTAATTTCTAGTCTATTATAGAATAGGTAGTCTCGTAGAATATAGTAGTACAGAAGCCTTAATTAGAACTAAGAGAGGTAGTTACAACGAGCCGGAGTTACTCTATTATAGCTGCGTAGTATGCCCTTATATACTAGCGCCGCCTTAGCCTCTATCTCTATAGCAATATCGACCTATTTCCGTAGTAGATCTTAAGCCGCTAGTAGCTATAGAAACTCGAAGCCTACTAATCGCTTTGTCTACTAATATTGTATACGCTTGCCGATCCTATAGCTTGCTAGTTATGCCTTATAAAGCTGTCTATCGTCTACCTAAAGAACTTCTAAGATAGTACTATATAGGTTATAGAACACGAGGTTGCGCTTGTTGCGGTTATACTTAATAGCATAATAATAGCCTTCGAGAGGCGACGTTGTCCTTATCTATAGCAATAATAGACTATAAAGCCGCGCCTAGGTTGCCTATCTCCTCGAATTTATACTATTCTAATTATGCTGTATATACTTAATTTTCTTTTCCTATTCTACTAGTTTATGTTCTCTTAGCTAATCCTGTATCTACCTATTGTTTTCGGCGATTTCTACGATATTGCGGGCATAGTAGATCGAGTAGTAAAAGCGCTTTACAATCTCTAGATATTAGGCTTCTAGGAACGCTCGAAGGAAGGTCTCTTTAGCGTAGCGCTAGCATAGGTAGAGCTAAACAGGTTTGTCTCTAAACGATAGGTTAATTGCTATCTACTCGGAAGCTAAATTATTAGTAATTGTAGCGATAGGTGTCTATTATAGTAACTAAGTCTTAATTACTCGAAGTCCGGATTCTACTAACTTAGCTTTCTACGATTCGAGCAATAAATGTCCTATAGGTAGCTAGCAACCTAATACATCGCGAACATATATAGTAAAAAGGTTCTATCTAAGGTCCGTAGTCTTATAAGTTACGTCTAGCAAAAACAACTATATAGTATATTAGTTAGTAGTGTTTTGAATTTTTAAAGTTAGCCCTCCGAACGACGTAGCGTAAGCTCGTAAATGCTAAGAGCTTATTAGTTAGTCGCTCGCGACTGCTTCCGCAATATCGCTTTCTACGAAGGGTAATAACTGTTACGATATAACACTATTACATATACGATAGCAGGCAGCGGTCACTATCGACCGCTACGGTCGCTATTGCTACTAATAGTAGGACTATTATATAGATAGCTTGCCTCGCGGTACCTTAGAGAATGTATTAACTTTTGTACCGTATAACCGTTATAATACCTTCGTACTATAACCGTATGCCTAGCAACTTAGTAGCTTCGCTTAACACTTAGTTGGCTTCTATACTAACTACTAGTCCTCTACTAGAATCGACCCCGGTCGTTATAGCTGCGACGAGAATCGACGCGATTAGCTACGGGTCCTGCCGACCTTCCGCTACTTACTACGATTTAACTCCTACCGGTTACGACGGTACCTATTCGATTTACTACCTTTCCGCACTCTATACTACCGACGTACGACCGCCTTTTAGCGATCCCGTTAGTATACCTAGGAGACGGTAGTGCCTCTACTTTTAGCGGCAGTTGCCTCCTCTACCTAGGTCTAGGGGCAGTCGCTTTTCCGAGGAGGACCTGCCTCGATAAGCTACGCTCCTTCGACTTTAGTTAGTACTCTATTATTGTCCTCTATCTAGAGACTATCCTGCCTTTACCCTCTTACTAATAGTTTACCCGCTTACCGTAACTCCTTAGACTCGCTTCTAATTTCGATAGAAGCCTCGAAATTAGCTAAGCTAGCGGTTCAACCGCTGCCCTAGTACTACGATCTCGGATTGCTAGGTATAGAACCTTATATCCTACGCATTTGTTCCTATATTTAGAACTACGTCGATTATAGCGAGAACTTCGCGACCTAGCTTAGGGCAAAGCACGGCCGGATCGACTTGCTTACTTTATACGTTCTATACTATTACCCGCTCGTAGGAAATCCGCCGCCGCTATAGGCTAAGATCGACGAGCTCTACTTAAACACCCTTAACGGTTACAACTTCCTAGGGCAGTAGGTAGTAGATAAAGGAATTCTAACTAAATCGGTTAAGGAGCTTAAAGCCGCGCTCCTAACGGTGCGCGATTTACGCTATTACCGTTACTTCTACCTAGAAATCTATCTACTACCTATAGTAGAGCAGCGTCTACCGGCCCGACTAGCTTAAGTTCTAGCACGCCCTACGGTTTCGCCTATTACTACGGTAGAAACAACTGTACCGCCGGAACAACGACCCGGTTCGCCTAAGAGCTCGCTTAAATCGGTTTTCTTACGAAGACCTCTTAAGCTACGATACCTAGCCGACGAGAATCCCTAGAAACCGAGGGACCGATCGCCTAACCCGTCTCCTAAGGAATCGTCGCTAGGGCTCTCTAATCTATCGACGTTACCGTTCTAGGATATCGGTTATAGCTAGCTGCCCCTAATAAACGACGGCCTCCCCGACCCGTAGGCTAACGAGCCGCGTAGCCGTTTCTAATATCGTACTCCTATAGATACCTCGCAGACAACCGAGGAGATCGATAGAGCGAATATTGCCGTATAGCAAAACCGTTAGCGCCGTAATTATCTTCGCGAGTTAGCTAGGCGGAGAGGCGTCTATCTCGACGAAGTTATATTAGACTTTCTAATAGAATAAGCGATTTTACCGCTATTAGGAACGCGTAAGCTAAGTCCGCCCCGGCCGAACCCTCCGTAGCCGAATCTAGACTAATACGATTACTAGTAGAGGGCAGACGCGTATATAAACGCCCGTAGGCACAGCCGCTTGCGACGTAGCGGCTTTACGCTAGGCGACCCGCCTAGCAATCCGCCGGGTAATCCTCTAGGCAACCCTACCGGTAATCCTCTAGGTAATTAGTCGGCCTATTCTCTACTACCGCTACCTAGTAGCTTCGATCCGGGCGACTCCTCTTATAAGCCGACGCAGAATCAGCCTTTGCCCTTTCCGCTATTAGACCTATAGGGCCTACCGCGGGAAGGCAAGAAACAATACCGGAAGCACCGTTAGTATCGGGGTAATCCGAGTAAGGATAGATCCTCGTCGGATAGCGAGGATTCGGACGATTCTAACTAATCTTCGTCGGATAACGATAGCTCCTCTAATAACGGCTATTATAGACGCGCTCGACGTCGCGAATACCGTTAGCGTTATTAGGACTACGACGCGGAAGCGCCGGATTCTAAAGCGAGTTATTCTTATAGCTATTACGCCCGCTCTTACCGGCTACGGTTTAACCTAGTATACCTCGGCTTCTTCGATCCTCTACTTAGCGTAGCGGATTACAGCGAAGGGGACTATATATTAGTCGGCAACAAGATAACCTACCGTTTAGTGTATACTTTCCTTAAAGCGGCTAAGGATTATATCTATATCGTAGGGCGAGAGACGGTCTGCCTTAACCTCTCCTTATACTTCCGAGGAGTTGCGCTTAGTTAGTATTATAGTTACCTCTCTAGTAGGAACCGGGCTAAACTGCGCGGTAGGCACGGTTTAA